TATACAATATATAATACTCATTGTTCCTAGGACGCGGAAAACTATTTCTCTATCGAAAGTGACCGGTGATCTGGGTTAGGTGAGGTGAAATTGGGTTTAACGTCGCGTCCAAGATTATTGCACTTATATAGCGACGTGCATGCACGTGTGTGTGTGTGGCTGCTTGTACTAGTCCGGACTAATGCCGATTTATAGTGCTAGTTCACTGAGATACCATGCCGCAGTTTAACATGAATACCCCACTCAGACACAGTATACTGACTCCGAGCCGACCAGTCCTTGTTTAAGCCCCTTAATGTCGAGCGCCAGACAGGGTAACAAGTACCATCTTTCAACGTCTTTTGGTATGACGCGGCCGGGGATCGAACCCCGGACCTTCCGCTCTCCGGGCGGACGCTCTACCACAAGACCACGGAGGCGGCACTGATCTGGGTTAGAATAGGTCTTCAGAAACCCACTAGCAAAAGGTGACTACGCTTGTCGTAAGAGGCGACCAACGGGATCGGGTGGTCAGGCTGGCTGACTTGGTTGATGCTTGTCATCGTATCTCAACAAACAAACAAACAAACAAATCTCCCGAAAGTAGAGTATGAATCTGATACAGCGCAAATACCATAGCATGAGAATTTTATAACCGCTTCACTGTATTACAAAGGAATTCGTGCAGTCAGCGCTGGATATTCTGCTTTACTCCTAATCATTATGTTTGTTTGATTGTTCCTTTGTTTATTGTTCAACGCCGCACTGGACAATATTCCATCTATATTACAGCGGTCTGTAGATAATCGATTTTTGACCAGACAGTCCAGCGATCGTCATCATGATCAGCGATCTTGGCAATTGGGATACGATGACATGCGAGTCAGCGAGCCTGACCACCCGATCCCGAGAAGCATAGTCGCCTTTAAAGGCGCGCGTGCGTGCGTGCGTTAGGCGTGCGTGCGTGCGTGCGTGCGTGCGTGCGTGCGTGCGTGCGTGTGTGTGCTTGTACTTTGCCGATTTTATAGTACTTGCCCACTGAGATACCATGCCGCAGTTCAACATGAGTATACTGACTCCGAGCCGACCAGTCCATGGTTTAGCCCCTAAAGGCCGAGTGCCAGACAGGGTAACAACAAGAATCTTATAAACAAATAACGCATGTTCTTAAAACTGAGAAACGATCAGTGAAAAATTAAAAAAAGGTTTTCACAAATTTAGAGACATGGATCATGAATACTGTTCAAACAAACATAAAACACCTTCCTTAATCACATGCAAACGTTTTCGGCGAAAAGAAAGAAAAGAAAATGAGATATTTCATAAGCTGTTTTAAAGGAACCGGGGCTTTACTAGCCTCGGACACAAATTTCTGAACCCCTTTCGAACGGTACAAACTATTTGAAAAAATATTTCCTAAATAGCAATTGGAGAACCTGACCTGTCCCCTAGCTTCTACTTCTAATATTTTCTTAACTGGCCTTAATTTCTAAATGCTTAAAAATCAGTTTTGTTGAGATTCACGTATAACCTCATTTATAACAAAATGTTTGTAAGATATCTATTTTCCTCTGCAGTTCGAGAACCTTACTGAAAAAAAACCCGCAGTAATCGCCAACATAAAAAAACATAAATATTTCCAGTAAATACTGATGAACAAAGATTCCTGAACCTCCCAACTGTTGGATATCATTCTCTACCTGATAAATAAATAGTGAAAACAAAAGAGGACTTAAAATGCAGCCTTGTCTAACACTTGCAATAATCCGATAAACTGTTTTTCGAAATTTTGACCGAGGATAAAGTTTGGAATAAATTAATATTCTTTATAATGGAATAATAATATAAGAATAGGCAGTCAGTCGACTGCGAGAAGTCGTATATCCCCAGCGTTTGCCGCGTGCGTACATCACCAGCTTGAACACGGGAAAACCTGACTGCCGATTCTTACCGGGATTGTAACCACGTGATCACAACTCAATGACGATATGTATTGCAAGCAAAATGGATATTTCTTGAAAAGCACACTTTGTAATTTTTGTCATTACTGTAAGTACTATTCCCTATTGGCAGAATGGCTTCTTTTCACTTCATAAGAAAAGAACACATGCAGCTATCTTACTTAATTTCGTGATTCAGTTTCAAGTGGCGAGGACTGAGGTAACTTTCATCCAAGACACAAAAGGCACAAGCTAAGAATGGAACCACCCTGCCACGTGACAGGACATGTCCAGTTTTGGTATCCCCGCTTGGTGCATTCGAAGAAGACTCGTCCCCCTATCGATGAATGTTATGTGCGAAAATACGACAAACCAATCAGAATGCGCGTATGATTTCAAAGAATCCCTCAGAAATAATTTTTGATTTTACATACGTCTTGCATAAAAAAATATACCCAAGACACGGTTAAATGTGTTCAATCATACTGTATAATTCCGCATGTCCCCATGTGCTTTATATTGCATCTGAAATATATATAATATATGTGGAAATATATGTGAACCATTACGCAAGGAGTTGACAATTGTTTTAGGTATGCCCGTTTGAGCTAAGACGGAACCCGGTCACAAAAATGGCCACGAGAGGGGCACGAGTCGCTATTCGGCTTGTCCCGGAATAACACGAGTTGGTCACGAATGCGCTTGGTGTTGCTTCGCTCTCGTCCCGTCAACGCAGAAGTGTACGGGAACCAGTCCAATGTAAGCCTTTTGACCAGCGGCGACAATCATCAAGCGACTGACTTTCTATTATTTTACACACGCTTCAGTCAACCATCACCTGTGCTTCACCAATACTTGTCGCTGCTTGCGTTCGCTTTCAAAACCCTTGACAACCCAGGTGAACGTGACAAAGGTTTAACCCAAGTTAAACTTGGTTGACCAATGTTAGCACATGTTAACTCAGTGACGTCATACGTCGGTTGACCTACGCTGCCCATACCTATTGAACCCCTGGGGTGCGGTACTCTGGTTAGACGCCTCCATGTGACGTCATCGTTGTAGGTAATTGGTTTCATTTATTGATTCACTCATGAACAAAAACATTTAAGAATAATTGAGTAGGTGTTGATAGTACATACGTATTCTGATAGGCTTGAGGGAATTTAACTTTCGATTGTTGATATCGATACTTTAGAATCAATACTGCAACTTTGATGATGATTTTCTATCTGTGATGTTCTCTGTCTGATTATATCATTACACATGGCTGTTGGGTGTCCATTTGCAGGCATCCATTTTTTTATTATATCTAAGGGTTGTATTTTATGCGTATTATTTCGTTTACGGTTCTAAGTTATCCTTGATTTACACTGGTTGTATCAAGTCAACCCTGGTTGCCCGAAATGTGGAAAACTCTGTTGCCCGGCTCACTCGAATTTTAAAATCTAAAGTGCGTACTACGCAGATGACACACACAAACCAGTCCATTCTGGACAGGGGTCCACAGTGTAGAAAAATTACGCGTTTCGTTTTGCCAATATGTTGTTGAGGTACTGGTGAGTATTGCTGCCCACCTGGCCACCTCATGTGAAAGAATAGACTCACCCGTACAAGGAGCTGCGCACATATTCCAAAATACGATTCCCTATATGCTATTAAATGTTACCAAAACGTGAAAACACACATGCCGTGAAGCATAAACAGTTAAACATCAGGGTACGTATTCATTAAGGTGTTTGAGAGTGTTATACCAATACCAACCCTCGAATCTAAGAATGTCATATTCATAACACATCTTTAAATAACGGTACTCTTAGAAATGGCGTAGATATAACAGCAGTCCCTGTTGGTGACCTTCGTAATCCTTTAAAATGGCTGCCATTCACAGGTTCGGATATTTGTAGGGCGACTAAGATTTCGAATTAACAGCGTTATGTTTCTTAATTCTGAAACTACGCTTACTGACATTACTTGTCCTGTTTATCGGAGGCAGTTGCTGAAGACCAATTCTAACCCGGATCTTCACGGGTGGAGAAAGACGAGTAAATATAATTTATCAGTGATCAAAATGATGTCTGATGCAGTCTTTTTTTGACTTGTACCATATGTCCACGTGTTCTCGTTTCCACATTGGGGGGTCGGGTAGCCTGGTGGTTAAAGCGTTCGCTCGTCACGCCGAAGACCCGGGTTCGATTCCCGACATGGGTATAATGTGTGAAGCCCATTTCTGGTGTCCCCCGCCGTGATATTGCTGGAATATTGCTAAAAGCGGCGTAAAACCATACTCTCTCACTCACTCGTTTCCACATTAACGGTTGTCTTGCCTTTGCATGTGTTTGTGACAGGTGCCACCGGTGGGACAGGATAGGGTCGCATTTTTTGCAAACACTGGTATCATCAGTATTTGATAGTGGTTCATAAAGACATGCTTTTGATGTTATAGGAAATGTAGTATGGATTCCGCTGTCCTCAGAGATTTGTTTTGATAATTGACAGGGTTTTGTCAGTTTTATTATAGGCACCATAACATACTCATACCTATACCCCTTACATACGCAGACGCACGCACACACAAACACACACATGCACACACAGAGACACACACACACGACCTCACAATACTCATTCACACATACCCATCCAGCTGTTAACTGTTACATGACCAGGCATGCGTACAATATGCAATTGGCCTTGACGAAAGATATGAATGTATGAACACATAACAAAACCATTAATGTCCTTTCAGCTGAAGTTATGTCTCTTGGATCGGGCTTTAAATGAAAAATAACATTCATACATTTGTCCATGACATTAACCTAGGAAACAAGGATGTGTTTACCGCCCGCCAGCCAATCACTAACTGCCTGTTAATTATAGCTCTTCGGTACTATGAGCACATTTATAACGACAATAAAACAACCATGTATTATTCTTGCTACTTGCATGTATTACTTTACTTATGTTTAATTTGTTGGTATATGTGTGCTATGCTACGGTTAGCAACAATTTGCTCATCACACATTGGTGACACTGAGTATGACAGGTGGTGCTACGTACATATTTATGCAGGTCATACTGACCTAGCTTGTACCAGCTACATAAATCCCTTCCCAAATGCACTCTTAACCTTTCCAGTTTATTGCTTAGACAACGGCTTGTGCCTACAACAGCCACACCCATCGTAGTCGTAACTATTTGTTTTGACAGGAAGGAAGTTTGACAGGAGCATGCGCAGACATGAGTTTCCTCTCAGGAAGCTTACAAGCCTTCCTCCCACGCATGCGCAGTGGGTACAGGTCAGCAGCCATTGTTATCAGTTGTAAACAATGACAAGCAGTTTTTAATCGTAACCATCCTGCCTCTCCGGGCGTGTTACTCGAGTTGAAATTAGCGTAGCCGTGCTTCACAGTGAGAATGCCACCTGTGAGACGTAAAAAGACACCCAGGTCATCTAGGAAGTCAGCAACCCCGGGGCGATCGGGTAACGCAGAATCTCATGTCGATCTCCAGATTGCTGATACAGGGGAAATTCTTCACGCGGAGAATGTAAGAATACCAGGGGCTTCCACAACATTCCAGTCTTCAGTCCCAAGTCGTGCGACAGAGAGGCCGGTTACAGTAAGAAGCAATGACAGAAGAGATCAACGTCCATACCAGACATTCCCTAGGAACTGGTCACTGCCCCATATCTGCAGCTATATCAAAAACATACTCAACATCACAGCTCCATCAGGCCTGACCCGACAACAATACCAGCAGTTTTATACTGACAATTTTCACCTTCTGCACAACCAGCCCTCCGGGAGTGACAACATCCCTGATAATGACAGAAACTCTCAAGAGCTTCCTCCGGACATCCCCCCACAGTCCAGTGTTAACCTTTCAGACATTATGATCGCATTTCAGTCACTGAAACAGACAGTGGAAAACCTACAAACGCATGTGCAACGTCAGCAGATCACACAACTGTCACAACCTCCACCACCACAACAACCCCCACAGCAGCCACAACCAAATTTCTCAGTGCCTGAACATTTCATCATGGACCCACCATCCGGCCCTCACCATGGTTATGGCTTATACACGGCCAGATTTGCCAAAGACGACCCCTTCGCAGAGGAGCCCGAAGGTAACTTCCCAGCTTTGCCACAACAAATCTTGGATGGTACTACACCTGAGGTGGAAGTGGTCTCAACTACACTCCGGCGCCAAATATGTGAAGGTAGAGATATCAACTTAGCTCTTCTGCTTATGCCAGATGATCTTTCTACTCCGTCCAAAACTATACATGTAGATGACATGGACTTGCTTCTTAAGGGGTCTAACAATGGGGATTCAAGATTGCGGCAGCCATTAACAATTGGTAACTTCATCATTGCATTTGGTCGCTATAAGGACATCATGATTAGTCGCTGGCCACAACGCAGGAAAGAGATGGACAAATATCAGCGCACCATCATTGAAATGCATGCACAATACCAAGATTTAACGTACTACCAGTACCACAAGCGTTTCTCGGCAAAGGCAGCAGCATTACTGGAGCAGCAAAACTGGAAAGTCAACTGGGGAACAGTGGATAACGAGTTATACAGAACAATATTCACGGGACGACGACTCAATGCATGTCAACTTTGTCACGATGTTGGACATTCCACACAGTTTTGCTCCCTGGTTTCTACCTCTCAAGCTACCAAAGCACAGCCATCACACTATGACGCTCCTGATCAACGGTGGCAGTCGGACAAAAGAGCTGATCGCCATGGACGAGCAATCATCATCCACCAAGGCATTCCAATTTGCAATAATTACAATGCCGACAAGTGCATCCATGTCAACTGCAAATACAGACATCTGTGTTCCTTCTGTCGTAAACCCCACTCTGTCCTGAAGTGCCGAAGTCTAGACACAGAAGAAAGCACCAGCAAAAGAAAAGATAAAACATCTTCAAAAAAGAACTGACTAGGTGCAACTCCCTCCCCGGTTTCCGTCCATCGCCTATCTGCCAACCTGCTCAACCATCCAGACAATGACTTCGTGACAAGACTAATAGCAGGGATGACAAACGGATTCTTTACGGGTATTCAAAACCCTCTTGCTCAATCAAAATTCGGCAAGAATCTCATCTCTGCCAATAAGGATCCAAATGCCACTAATAACTTATTACAAACGGAGCTAAATAAGGGTTACCTTATTGGTCCGTTCACAGAGTCCCCGTTTCCCTATCATCGCATCAATCCCATAGGGATCGTGGAAGGCAAGTATTCTCGGAAACAACGCATGATTGTTGATTTATCAGCACCGCATAACGACCATGACAATCCCAGTCTAAACTCCCTCATCGACAAAGAACAGTACTCCCTGGTGTATGTCAAGCTGGATGACGCCATACAAATCATCAAACATCTTGGACGACACGCCTATCTGTGCAAAGCTGATATTGTGGATGCTTTCAAACTGATACCCATACATCACTCTCTCTTGCATCTACATGGTATCCATTGGGACAATTGCTTGTACTACTTTACCAGACTGGTTTTTGGATCCAGATCCAGCCCTAAAATTTTTGACCTGTTATCTCAAGCCATCTGCTGGATCGCAACCTACGTGTACCACATTCCTCATATTCTTCATCTACTTGATGATTTTCTCACAATTGACGCAAATAAGAACGAGGGCAATGCAACCATGAGCAAATTGCGACATCTCTTCAACGATCTCAAGATTCCTTTGTCACCAAGGAAAACAATTGGCCCTACGACATGTTTAGAGTACCTTGGTATCATCCTGGACACTGACAAGATGGAAGCGCGACTCCCAGCTGATAAAGTAGCTAGAATCTTTGCTGTCGTCGATTCAGTCCAAGAGAGAAGGAAGGTCACCAAACGACAACTGTTGAGTGTGTTAGGACATTTAAATTTTGCTATGCAGGTAATTAAACCAGGTAGAGCCTTTGTTAGCTACCTGCTCAAGCTGGCACATTCTGTCCCCCAGCTACATCACCATGTCAATATTACCCAGGAGTGCAAACTAGACTTCTCGATATGGCGTTCATTTTTAACAGACTGGAATGGCATATCATTCTTCTACGAGGACGAGATCGCAGCACCAGAGATAGAACTCTACACAGATGCAGCAGCATCCATCGGTTATGGTGCTTATTATCAGGGTAAATGGTTCGCACAGCAGTGGCCAACAGACTTGCTCGATATCCTGAATGGTGACCTGTCAATAGCACTACTTGAACTGTATCCAATTGTCATGGCTGCTGCAATTTGGGGAAATTACTTGTCAAGGAAAAACATTAAATTCCATTGTGATAACAGTAGCACCGTAGAGATCATCAATAAGTGTAGATCAAAATCACCTTTCATCATGAGACTGGTCAGAAAGCTCGTACTGACCGCTGTTTGTGGTAACTTCCATTTTGTTGCTGCTCACGTACCAGGTAAAGATAACTGCATAGCTGATTCTTGATCTCGATTACAGATGGACAGATTCAAGAAGCTAGCTCCCAAGGCAGACAGTGTGCCTACCCCATGTCTTCCAATCACAGCAATCAACATTCCACCTGCTCAGATCTCAACAAACTCTGGTCACAAGCACTCTCCACGAAAACGCAGGCGGTTTATAAATCAGGACTTCATAATTTCCTGAACTTCATGGCCATGTGTAGTGTACGCTGGTGGCCTGCTGCTTTGCCTCCTATCACAGAACAAACCCTCTTGTGTTTTGTAGCACACTGCTTCTACAAACTACAGTATAAGTGTACAACAATCAGGAGCTATCTCGCTGCTGTGAGGTTTGCTTATCTAAGACATGGAATTGAGAATCCATGGTCAGTATGTAACACTCTTAGGCTAGAGACCATCATGAAAGCAATTCAACGGATACAGAGCGTGCCGGCAGCAGAGCGTTTACCTATAACTATTCATGTGTTGCGCAATTTGTGTTTCCAATTGGACAAGCGTTTGTTCAATCATTATACTAACATGTTATTGCAGGCTGTATTTAGTCTAGCCTTCTATGCCTTTTTGAGATGTGATGAATTCACTTGTGCCAAATATGTGTATCAAAAACATTTATCCATGAATTCGATTACCTTCAACGAGGAATACACCTGCTTTGATCTGTTTCTCAAGCAATCAAAGACTGATCAGCTAGGGAAAGGTGTGACAATTACTGTACATGCAGTGCCCGGACCAACTTGCCCCGTTCAGGCAATGAAAAACTATGTTAACCTGCGCAATCAGTCTCAGGCCCGTGCCTCGGACCCTTTGTTCCTCACCGATTGTGGTATACCTCTCCACCGTGACTATTTTATTCATAAACTACATCAAACTCTGGCGGCAGCAGGATACGACTACAAGAAATTCAACGGACATTCTTTTAGAATCGGAGCGGCCACTTCTGCAGCTGCAGCTCATGTACCAGACCATATGATTAAAGCCTTAGGACGCTGGAAATCAGACTGCTACGCTCGGTATATCAGAGTCGATAAGGGCTCCATAGCTGCAGCTCAGCGCAATATTGCTCATACTTAGCATGCTCAGCAGCCCGTTTATCCTTGGCTATTACATTGTGTATATACTCTTTGTAGCAGTTTCTATGCAAATTCTTTGCTTCAGTGATAGTGCACTAATCTTATGGTTGACTCTTACTTTGTCTGACCTTTTCAATCTTCCTGTGCAGCCTCTCAATGGTGTAACTCCTTCAGAGTAAGCCTTGGCGTTATAGTCCAAGTCCAATGTCGTTCAGGCGTAATAATCCTATATGCCATTACTAGGTATTATTTTCTTTATGGGGTATTCTCAGCCAGCTGTATCATGGTATTTTATTTTATCCACATCTGGCTCGAATTGTGGCCTTACTATCCTCCTCAAATTGCTGGGATAGTTCCCCCTAAAGTTCAATAATCCACATCCAACTTGTAGGCTACTTGTATGCTCATTTATCGCACCATTTTGTACCGTTCTGTGTAGTCACTCGCTGTGCTCTGAGGCTCAGAACTATAGCCAGCGTTTGATCCCAATGCTTGGGCATGACCGATGCTCGATCATGTACACACTTAGTGCCAACGATTTGGCCATGTCATGTTATTATTTGCAAGTGGCCAAATCGTTTCCAATGCTTGGCATGATTGATGCTCAATCATGGGCACCCGTAATCAAACCTGAGAATTCCCCATACGCCAAATTTATAATTTTGTATTTTATCATAATAAATGTTTGAAACTACTTTGTGTTTGGTTGTCGTTATAAATGGTGCTGTAAGAAACACACACGTGGGTAGACGTGACGCACACCCACCAACATTGGCAATGTGTGTTTATATCTGATGGCCAAAATTGCTCCCATGACTACTTCGGTTTGCAGATCATGTAGTCCTTTCCCAGCTGTCCCAGTTTATGTCAGAGGTTGTATCATAGCTAAAATGGATAGAATTATCAATAAACCGCCCGCATGTTATCAGAAATGAGTAACTTGATAATGCCATCATAGTGCTTGACGAGCTATGATCACGCCCGTTGTTAGGTGACGTCCTACTGATGTTCAACACTGACGTCATCTGGTTTATTCTATGACGTTTCCATATTTGTAAAATTGGGTCAGTGACATTCGTTGTGTGTTGATTGCAGTTGATGTTTCAAAACCGATATTGTTGTTTTGTGGTTTTTTTATAACAAATTCTATCCAATTTTGCTATAATAACGGTAACGCTATTTTTCAGGGCATTATCATTTGTAGAAGCCCTCGGTCTTTTCAGTTAATGGAAGACCTCGGGTTTCTGCAAATGATAATGCCCTGAAGAATAGCGTTACCCTTATATTATATGTTACCATATTGACATTATTAATCCTACATCCCATGACCCTTTTGTCTCTCGTTATAATCCCATCTCGTATTATTTAGCAACTACGACGAATTATTATTTTCTGCGGGCTGTCACGATGAGAATGGTAAAGACATTGGAGATAATTGTGTACTCGTTATTTTCCAAACTGATAGACACGTAACTATTGATTAATGTCATTCGGTTCAAGGTAACTGACTTAAAGCCACAAAACCATTTCCAAATTCATTGGAGATCTCTGCCAAATGCAGAGTCAAGACAATTTGAATAATATTCTTTGGAAATGATGTGTTTTAATGGAACTGAGTGGTTTGTTATAATGATGACAGGAAACGAGGGAAGGTATTTCCGGTCACGTGACGGACTGGTCAGAGCAGCGCCATGTACACTCCTTGCCGGGCACCAGCAACCATATCACAATACCTTCCTGTCAGGAGAAAACATCCTACCAAGCACCGGATTTCCTATTTCGCGGCCTGGCACTCTGTTGTTACTCGTGGTTATCATGGAATTGTCACTGACGCCCCATATTTGTCATTAGCCTGTGGTTACAGAACAACCGAAATCACCATGGTGTTATTGACAACGTTCATATATTGATTTCCATTACATGATTGCATTTATAAGCATTTCATGAAATGTTATGTAAAATTTGTTTACCTTATTTAAGGAATTCGTCCAGAGATCTCAGTGCACAAACATCTAGGAATCACTCAAAATCTCTTTCTACCATTTATGTCTGCAATCGGTTTGGCCTAAATAAATTCTGTTAGAATCTCCTTCCATATAGATACACTATATTCTGTTCGTGGTCGTCTATTATTGCTTGCAAGGTGGTGCTTAAGTTCAGAGACATGCGATGACCTGTTCATCGTCAGAAAACCATCCGATTCAGTCTCATTAGGATATCATAATTGCATTGACCATAAATCTATATTCTTCTGACATCATATGTCATTTGAGGAGACCATCCATCACGGCTTATAAGTGGGAATGGCAATAGGTGAGGTGAAATGGGGCTAAACGTCGCGTCCAGGATTATTGCACTTATATAGTGATGTGCATGCTCGTGTGTGTGTGTGTGTGCGTGCGTGCGTGCGTGCGTGCGTGCGTGCGTGCGTGCAAGCGTGCGTGCGTGCGTGTGTGTATGTGTGTGTGTGGCTGCTTGAACTAGTCCGGACTGACGCCGATTTATAGTGCTAGCTCACTGAGATACCATGCCGCAGTTTAACATGAATACCCCACTAAGCCACAGAACAGACTCCGAGCAGACCAGTCCTTGTTTTAGCCCCTTAATGCCGAGCGCCAGACAAGGTAACAACAAGTACCATTTTTTCAACGTCTTTTGGTATGACGCGGCCGGGTGGACGCTCTACCACTAGACCATGGAGGCGGTCTGGGAATGGCAACAACCTTAAGACATCACTGTACAAGTACAGGAAGCTAGGGTACACTCGTTCTCTGATGGCTTATACCACAAACAAAACTTTGCCGTCACGTATGTTGTGAATAGTTCCGGTTACTTAACCTATAAACTGTTTTTGCAAAATATTCTACATGGAAATAAAGCCAATAATTTTGAATGACTCTGAAACTTTGTCCAATTTTTGAGGCCTTAGAACGAATACAATATACGACTTGTAAAAGATTTTGGGGCATTTCACATTTTGGACATTTTACAAAGTACACCTAATGTAATGGCGAACGATGAATGTGGACGATATCCATCATTTAATGATTCTTTACTCAAATGTATGAAATATTGGTTAACACTTATTCGCATGCCCGATTTCCGTCTTCCCCCCCAAAAGGCTATGACATGCTATACCTTCAGATGTGCAAAACATATAATTCTGGCCAACATCGGTTAAACAGTCATTATGTTTTAAACCTGGGTTCGGTAATGCTTATAAATGTCATTTATAAATGAATTAAAACTGAGGCTTAAAGTCATTTCTTCTCAAGAATGGAAAACTACAATAACTGAATGTGAACAAAACATGCATTATAAAACACAAGTGGAATCTGAACAGTATATACTGAATAAATCTTCATTTCACGACATGAGATTAAGAACGGTAGCGGCAGGACTGCAAATAGATATTGCACGCTGTATAACATTAGGAGTGAGTGAGTGAATTGGATTTTACGCCGATTTTAGCAATATTCCAGCAATATCACTGTGAGGGACACCAGACATATTCTTCAAACATTGTACCTATGTTGGGAATCGAACCCGGGTCTTCGTTTCGACGAGCGAACGCTGTAACCACAAGGCTAATACACTGCCGCTATAACATTAAGAAAGTAAATAGCATATGCACATTCTACAAATTAAATAGCATCCAAGATGAGTTCCATGCTGTCATAAAATGTTCACTGTATATTGAGGTAAGGAAAAAATATGTTCCTAAGAAATATTTGGATAACGGTACCATCGAATCATTTTGTAATCCGATGTGCGAAAAGCGAACAATTGTGGTAGATTTACAATTGCTCATTTACACCTGTACTTCCTTTGCCTTTTAGCTTTTTGTGTGAAAGCTGTATGTAGGCCAGTGGCCTTGAATACAATCAACAGAATTGAATTGAAAAATGTTTAAAATTCGAAATCCTAATATAATAAATGGAAAAATAATTGTAAAATGATAATAATATTTGGAGATTTGTAAATTGACTAAGTGAAAATTTCGGTCATTTTACACACTGACTGATTTTGCAAATTAACTGCACCATATATACCTCTGAATGTTTTTACTGAATAACCACTGGACGTGCTGTCATTGAAGTGTTTATATGGCAGTCTAGTTTATTGTTGTACAATGATTGAAATTGTGTTACATTGTTTCTGGTGAGATTCGGTAGACACTCATTGTTTTAAGTTTTGACAATGATTAGTTGTCAGGAATGTTGTACTGTTTAATGTAAGCTGTTTTGAGGAAGTTACTATATTTAGATGCTAGTGTCATGTGTAAACTTCCGGAATGCAGTGGACTGATGTAGAATATTCTGTAATGTTCAAAGCCGTTAGACTGGTGATGACAATGTGTAGACATTTATAGAAGCTAGTTAGACTGTATATAAATGGACAAAAGCACGCCTGCCGTATAGATCACACATTTCGTCTCTCAAGGTTCATTACATCAAGATCAGCGTTCGTGTGAAGTTCACTCACCACCCTGGATTCCCTGCCTGGGCCTTTCTCGGAAGCTTGACAACTGTCGCCGCTGGGTGAATATACTATTATCACTGACTATTGCTATCACCACTGTATTTTTATATTTGATACTGACCACTGCAATAATATCATATACCTACATTGAACATTGTACTACCACTCTACTGTGTATTGCATATTGTGATTACTGTGCAGTAATTTGTATTGATTAGTAAACCTACTTAATTTTATAATAAAATTGTTAATTGTATACCATTTGTTGGATGTTTGTTGGGTTTTGTTTTTTTTCCTTTAAGGACAGATTTCTGGGTTAATATATTATTTCAATATGGGAATCGACGCGTAAAACAAGACAGATGCTGGATATTAATAAATAAAATGAAAAAAGGTTATGCTTAACACTATTGATTAGAGACCGATTGTTGTGCATGTCAACGTCACGTCCACGGCAACCATGTCTTGCACCAATCTGTCCCATCTTCTGCCCTGATGTCTCTGTGACAAACATGCTGTCGAACACTCGCAGATCGACAAGGCTGTTGTGACCAGCTGCATCAGCACTCTCCACACCGCGGCCTCGCTCCTTCATATGACATTATCTATTACACTGCGGGCACGTAACGCACACCAGGTATTGACATTGTCATGCACGAGATGCAGCTGTACAAGCTGCGTAGATGCTATGTGCTGATACAGATTTATCAAGACATGTTCATGTATTGAGAAACATTAAGATGCATCGCTGTATCAGTTATAATAGAGGGGGCACGGGTGGCCCAGTCGTCTAAGGTGCCGCGATTCGCTGTGCAGAGTTGCGTCCCTTGGGTACGCCAGAAACCTATGATTGTGGGTTCGAATCCCGGTTCGCCCCGATTATGTTTCTAGGTTTGTCAGCACCATACCCGTGCTCGTGGGTTTCACCGAAGTGGTAAACGTCAAAAACCTGCATCACTTAGGGCTTTCCTCCCACATTAAGCTCACACGCCGCGATATAACTGGAATACTGTTAAAAGCGGCGTTAAACCAAACTCACTCACTCATATATAAAAGAACATATAAGAAAATGTCATGCAATTGGGACAACAAATACCTTCTTAAAACAATATGTTTGTCATTCTGAAGTCGTGTTATAAAGAATTATAACTCATTGAAAACTCACAAACGTTGTCGTCATATGGAGCGTGTTCGAACCCATACATCGTCATGAAGAACATGGTATCGCAACCATCCGATGACGATGGGCGACACCGTTGGTATTTTATGACCAGAGACATCATGACGACGAACTCATTTCTCGTGGATTGATTCGCGCACAGTCAAAGACGATTCCCATCCCTACGATCGATAAAGATCCAGCACTGATAAAAGATACTGTTGAAGATAAACAACATAAATCTCCGTACTCAAGTGTCAGTATACTCAAGTACCGGTATACTCAAGTGTCGGTACTCAAGTGTCGGTACTCAAGTGTCTGAACTGAGGTGTTCGTACTCAAGTGTCGGTTCTCAAGTGCCTGAACTTAAGTGTTCGTACTCAAGTGTCTGTACTGAAGTGTTCGTACTCATGTGTCAGTATACTCAAGTGTTCGTCCTCAAGTGTCCGTACTTAGGTGTCAGAATGTTCAAGTGTTCGTTCTCAAATGTCAGAATACTCAATTGTCGGTATACTCAAGTGTCCGTACTCAAGTGTCAGAATACTCAAGTGTCGGTATACTCAAGTGTCGGTATACTCAAGTGTTCGTTATCAAGTATCGATATACCAAGTGTCAGAATACTCAAGTGTCATAATACTCAAATGTTCGTACTCAAGTGTAAGACTACTCAAGTGTCGGTATACTCAAGTGTCAGTATACGCAAGCGTTCGTACTCAAGTGTCAGAAAACTCAAGTGTCAGAATACTCAAATGTTTGTACTTAAGTGTCAGAATACTCAAGGGTCGATATACAAGTGTCGGTACCTAAGTGTCAGTATACTCAAGTGTCAGTATACTCAAGTATCGGTATACTCAAGTGTCTGTACTCAAGTGTCAGTATACTCAAGTATCGGTATACTCAAGTGTCTGTACTCAAGTGTCTGTACTCAAGTGTCAGTATACTCAAGTATCGGTATACTCAAGTGTCTGTACTCAAGTGTCAGTATACTCAAGTATCGGTATACTCAAGTGTCTGTACTCAAATGTTCGTACTCAAGTGTCGGTACTCAAGTGTCATAATACTCAAATGTTCGTACTCAAGTGTCGGTACTCAAGTGTCATAATACTCAAATGTTCGTACTCAAGTGTCAGAAAACTCAAGTGTCGGTATACTCAAGTGTTCGTACTCAAGTATCGGTATACTCAAGTGTCCGTACTCAAGTGCCTGTATACCCAAGTGTATGTATACTCAAATGTTCGTACTCAAGTGTCAGAAAACTCAAGTGTCGGTATACTCAAGTGTTCGTACTCAAGTGTCAGAATACTCAAGTGTCGGTATACTCAAGTGTCCGTACTCAAGTGTCGGTATACTAAAGTGTCCGTACGCATGTGTCAGAATACTCAAGTGTCGGTAAACTCAAGTGTTCGTACTCAAGTTTTTAGAATACTCAAGTGTCGGTATACTCAAGTGTCAGTGTACTCAAATGTTCGTACTCAAGTGTCGGAATACTCAAGTGTCGGTATACTCAAGTGTCGGTATACACAAGTGTCAGTATACTCAAGCGTTCGTACTCAAGTTTGGTATACTCAAGTGTACGTACTCAAGTGTTCGTTCTCAATTGTCAATATACTCAAGTGTCCGAATACTCAAGTGTCAGAATACTCAAGTGTCCGAATACTCAAGTGTCGGTATACAAGTGTTCGTACTCAAGTGCATGTGCTTAAGTGTCGGTATACTCAAGTCTCCGTACTCAAGTGTCAGAATGCTCAAGTGTTTGTCCGGAAAAGTCTGTATTAAAGTGTCGGTATACTTAAGTGTTCGAACTCAAGTGTCTGTACTCAAGTGTCAGAATACTGAAGTGTTTGTACTGAAGTGTCTGTACTCAAGTGTCAGAATACTCAAGTGTCAGAATACTCAAGTGTCAGAATACTCAAGTGTCAGAATACTCAAGTGTTTGTACTGAATTGTCGGTATACTCAAGTGTCAGAATACTGAAGTGTCTGTACTGAAGTGTCTGTACTCAAGTGTCAGAATACTGAAGTGTCTGTACTGAAGTGTCTGTACTCAAGTGTCAGAATTCTGAAGTGTCTGTACTCAAGTGTCAGAATACTGAAGTGTCTGTACTGAAGTGTCTGTACTCAAGTGTCAGAATACTGAAGTGTCTGTACTCAAGTGTCAGAAAACTCAAGTGTTCGTACTCAAGTGTTCGTACTCAAGTGTTCGCACTCAAGTTCCATACACAAAGGGCCGTACTAAAGGGTCGGTATACTCAAATGACGGTATAGACATGTGTCCGTTCTCTAGTGTCGGTATACTCAAGTGTCGGTGTACACAAGTGTCTGTACTCAAGTGTCGGTATACACAAGTGTCGGTATACTTAAGTGTCGGTATACACAAGTGTCCATACTCAAGTATCGGTATACACAAGTGTCCTTACTCAAGTGTCGGTATACACAACTGTCGGTATACACAAGTGTGTTTTCACAACTGTTGCTATACTCAACTAAAGTGTACCTAGTCAAGTGTCCGTATACAAGTACCCTGACACAAGTGTGTGTACTCCACTGATGATTAGTTTGCCGAAACACTACAATAGGGCACTCCTCCTCCTCCTACTCCTCCTACTCCTCCTCCTACTACTACTACTACTACAAACGTATACCAGAATCCTATGATTGTGAGTTCGAATCCCGGTTCGCCCCAAATATGTTTCTAGGTTTGTCAGCACGACATCCCTGCTCGTGGGTTTCACCAAAGTGGTAAACGTTTGAAACCTGCATCACTTCGGCTTACCTCTCACATTCAGCTGACACGCTGCGATATAACTGGAATATTATTCAAAACTCACTCATTTACATATATGTCCAGTACAGACAATGTGTAAATGACAAAAAACATAATCATTCAGTATACTGAAATATAAAATAGGATATTTGATACAAGCAAAAACCAAACGGCTCTGTTCACGGAATATATTATGTTGGAACATGGTTTTGCAATTCAGATTTCGACAGAAAAACGTATTTTGAAACGAACTGACAGACCCGTATCTGAATTTCCACAACACCAGCTGGCGCCACAGGCTAGCGAACCAAAACCATATTGCGGTGCTGTTGAATATTTAATGCCAATAACATTTCCTATGATGCCAGCTTCCGATGAAACAGCCGCGGGTGGACGCAGAATGTTAACGCCGTAATCAATACACTGTGAGATACTTTCATATCACAGCACTGCCTTCAGCGAACAAGGGTCAGTGTCGACGTTCTGTGACACACATACCTTAGCCACAGGGTCAGTGTCACCATGGAAGTAGAACACATGTCAGCTCACATTCCGTTTGTTTGCTTCTTTGATTCTTCTGTGACGCAAAATCTATTATGTTAAGCGTCTATGAAGGAAATATATTTTGCCATGTCGATCTGTGTGATTCTCCCTGTTCCAAGTTAAAACACCACGAAGCTCCACCAACAAAGATCCATGTTTGTGCAGGTTGTTGAACTAGCTGGATAAATTTTTTGTGGAAGCCTTCAAACAGGTTGTTGAACAAGATGGACTTTGTTTGTGTGGAATACTTACAAAAGGATGTTAAACTTAGCAGGAGCTCCTTGCTGTGAAATCCGCAAAAAAAAGTTTTAAAAGAAGTTCTCGGTCATATAGAATGTTTTCATGAAGGACGTTCAGGGCCTCGCTTTAAGGGAAATCGTTCACTCAACAGGAACTGCGTCCTGTTATGAATCCTTCTTTGGAGAAAAACTATGCGAAACTTCGTTCAAAGGAAATCCTTACAGTGAGACGTTAGAGTAGCAGGGTATTTTTCCATATGATACGCTTATGATCTCTATAAGCAGCAAGAGATAATTCTGGAAGGAACACTAAGAGAAACAGAGTCTTAAGATCTGAGTAACATGATATTGAACGGTGTTGTGACAATTCCTGGAACTACAATGTGAGTTTGGTGTTACGAGTAACGTCTGGAGTAGAATGACGGGTTTGTTTCCTCGCCTGTGACCACTCCGCCAGTGGGATGTCGGAGCGCGGATACCTGTGGCTGTTGTTGGTCTGTCTGGAGCTGACGGCACTGTCTGCGACTTGTAGGATGACCTCCTACAACGTCACTATAGGTAGGTACATGACAGGTATTGCCAACACATTTCTATAGTTCGTCATATGTGACATTCTTATGTGGGTGACGTGAAGTAAATTGGGGTTTAACGTAGTGTTAACATGAATACCCCACTCAGACACAGTATACTGACTCCGAGCCGACCAGTCCTTGTTGTGTCCCCCTTAATGCCGAGCGCCAGACAGGGTAACAGCAGCCACCATATTTTAAGGTCAAATGGTATGACGCAGCCGGGGGTCGAACTAGTGACCCTCCTCTCACCGGGCAGACACTCAATCTAGACTTGACCACGGAGGTGGGTTTAACGTAAATTGATCTCAGTTATATCATGTTGACGTACTATCTATAAAAATGGTTATGTACGTACGAGCAAAACAACATGTCCCATTTTCCTCGTGGATATGTGTGCAATCACGCATTGTGAAGAAATTGTCGTGCAACTGCAATAGTTATATTATCGTTTCGATCGGAAAATAGATTAAAGTGAGTGTCTTGTCATTGAGGAAAATAGTGAATGTCTTGTCATAGAGGAAAATAGTGATACTCACAAGCAATAAAGTCTGTTGTGACTGCATACAGTGGACGGGTGTTTTGTCACAAAATACAGCAGTCAGTGGGTATCCTTTCACAGAAGACAGCAGTCAGTGGGTGTCCTTTCACAGAAGACAGCAGTCAGTGGGTGTCCTTTCACAGAAGACAGCAGTCTGTGGGTGTCCTTTCACAGAAGACAGCAGTCAGTGGGTGTCCTTTCACAGAAGACAGCAGTCTGTGGGTGTCCTTTCACAGAAGACAGCAGTCTGTGGGTGTCCTTTCACAGAAGACAGCAGTCTGTGGCTGACCTTTCACAGAAGACAGCAGTCAGTGGGTGTCCTTTCACAGAAGACAGCAGTCAGTGGGTGTCCTTTCACAGAAGACAGCAGTCAGTGGGTGTCCTTTCACAGAAGACAGCAGTCTGTGGGTGTCCTTTCACAGAAGACAGCAGTCAGTGGGTGTCCTTTCACAGAAGACAGCAATCAGTGGGTGGGTGTTCTTTGGAGAAGAAGCACGCAGAGGCCAACTTTTAAAGGACTTCTCATCAGAACATTCTGACGTTCGTTAAAACTGTTCGAAATCATAGCAGGATGTTTCTAATCCACTTGAAAGGGAGTACTCAAATTATTGCTGAACTAATCTTGATTGAAACCAATGTACCGCGGGAGGTCTTGTGCACACTCTTGCAGCAGGAGACAATGCACACAACATCAGTTATCAAGTCTACTTTACAGAGTTGTGGTCTCATGTACAACGGTGTTCTTTGAAGAAAATGATTTGAGAAAAAATGCTGAAAGATAGAGTATAATTTTCATGTAATTAGTTATGTGCGAAACAAATTTGTTTGTAGAAAGCCACATGAAGGTGAATGGGCTAAATTTGTTCAAAAGTAAATTCATGTTGAATTTCGCTCAGTGATAAAAAACACATGTCTATATGTGTCCGACCACTATTGATGAGCATGTCAATTGCATTGATCTTTCAAATGATGTACTTAATTCACATGTGGTTTCCTTAATTGCCATAACGCGCCCAACGGGGGAGCCAAAACAATTAATTATAACGGTACAATTATTAGTATTTTATCGATTTTTCTAACCTGGCAATATCAAACGGTTGGGTAAATCATATAACTCCTTGATACCTCACTGGTGGATATTGAATAGGGGAAAACGCTTTGAATCGTATAGTGGACACTATGTGAGTTATTATTTCTCAAGATATTTTTGGAAAAAGAAGGGCGGAATTCTCAACCAATTACTACACGCCTCAGCTTGTTTCTATATCCTATCTGGACAAATGTCATTTATCACCTATCTATCCTTTAATAAAGAGGATAGGTCGTTAATAATAAACCATTCACAAACAAAATATCATCCATACATTTTTGAAGACCCGTGAAGATCCGGATTGGAATAAGTCTTCAGCAACCTATGCTTACCGTAAAGACGACAATGCTTGTCGTAAGAGGCGAATAACGCGATCGGTCGGTCAGGTTCGCTGACTTGGTTGATGCATGTCATCGATCCCAATTGCGTGGATCGATGTGCATGATGTCAATCACTGGATTATTTACAGACCGCCGTCACATAGCTGGAATATTGCTGAGTGTGGCTTTTAACAACAAACAAACAAACAAAATATTTTTTTTAAATAATCGGTTATGGTATTACCGACATCAATGAAGGTACTTACAGGTCATTTTGAGAAATTGAGCGGATTTCCCTCATCAATGTATATAATGAGCCAAGTTTGGACCCATATCATGGTGTTTAATATATGATGCTTTGTTACGTTGTAAGTATGCTGTTCTGTGGTATGTACAAACTAATACCTTTAAAGGGGAAGTGTACACGCAAAAATCACTTTCTTTCTTTTTCTAAACAAAACGCAATTTTAGAATTAGTTAGTATCTGTGTTTGAAAATATACACTCATTTTTTTCACAGTGAAAGTAGGAAGCTCACAATAGTGTGAAAATGATATGCCGTTATGATGCTTTCGTTTTTCGAGCTAAACAGGCCTGAGTTATCCCCCTTAGATTATGACGTAATTGGTGCCAATTCAACTGGGTCCCTGTCTATTCTGAACGCAAAAGATATCAAGTACAAGTTTTCGGTAAAACAACATGGCCTACGACACACTCCGGCGCAGTGGTGACTCAGCATAACACTATGCTGGCTGGCATCTGAGACGCTAGAATCACACACCAGTGCCTACACCACGTGAAGCGGCTCTAACATAGCATGATGACGTCATAATGTTTATCAATTGGCACCAATGACGTCATATTGCAAGGGGCATAAGCCATGGTGTTTTTGTTATGGAAATAGAACACTTGGTAAATGTGAAAAATATAAATCGATTTAATGCAAAACATATGTTAATTAATTGTGATATTTTTATATTTTTGTCTATGACACTTCAAGGTTAACACTTTTATTGTGGAAAAAGTACAAGAAAATTAGGTTCATTTCCGTGTGAACTTGCCCTTTAAGGATTGCATATTATTCTTTAACAGCTGTTTTATTGCATTACGTTGTTTCATACCCCCGCTGAAAAACCAATAATGTCATTATTGTTGACATTGAAAGGATTATATCTCAGTTTACACAACTATATTGTTGTGACTGACATGTGTCCCAACATGCCCAAGACGACCTAGCAGGATGTATATCTGCTACCGACAAATAATAAGGGAACTAATTATGCATGCATGAACATCACGTGATGAACGTGCACACAGAGGCCAAACTGTGTGTATATGGTGGAACTGACAATCACTAAAAATGAACCCAAGGCAGGTTCTCAATGAACAGTCAAAACGGCGAATTGTGGGTACGGTAGAGAGGAGACATCAATATCCAAGGTTACCCGAATGTTTGGCAAATCAAATGTGTATTTTCCCGACTGCCAGACGGGTACCGTCAAATGGTGGGGTTGCAATGAAACCTAGGCTTGGCAGGCCTAACATACGACGCCTGGTCAAGATCGTCTCATTACATCAATTGCACTTCGCAATAGATTCAAATCTTCCCCTGTTATTAATGGTGAATTTCGTACAATAACAGGAAGGCGAATTTCAACATTTTGAAAACCGGCTCAAAGCAGTCCGCCAGAAGGTTAGGCGTCCAGTGAAGGGGGTGACTCTAACAGCTTACCTCAGATGGCAAAGAATGGGGTGGGCTAGGCAACTATATTTACAGACGAATCAAGGTAAAAGCCTCTTATTCACAGATGGCAGAACACGTCGTTGGTGACTTAGCGGCGAATCTTATGCCAGGGCGTGGGCGGTGTCACACATGGCAGGCAACCTGATTTGGTTATTGTGAATGGACATTTGACTCACCAGCGATAAGTTGACGAAATTTTGCATCCTGTCGTTGTTCCCTTCGCTAGAATTATCGGCAGATAGTTTGAACTGCAAGATGGCAATACCAGACTACATCGTGCCCAGGTCGTCACCGATAATCTCCGACGAGAAGGCAAACAGACACGGGACTGGTCGCTAAGTACCCTGACATGTCCCCCCCAAAAGCATCTGTGGGATGTTCTCGGGTGGAGAGTGTACGCCAGAGACCCAATACCCGCCAACGTGGCCCCGCTTGGGGCAGCTCTTCAGGCGGAAGGACGGGTAATACCAAGGGCAACCATACGCAGGTTAACCAACAGTAATGGTGTCGTACATGTGTCCCCCATCATGGTCTAGGCGTCCGAAATTTATTTTACATACATGTATCGTCATTACACGTTCACTATCATGTCCCTTATATTTTGTCGGTAGTATATATCTGATGTTAACGTCTGTGGTTGAATCATTAACCTCATCACATAAATAATTGGAAGCCGTTCTGGTTATATGTATAAAGAACACAATATAGATGCGGTATATGGACTCACAGACATCTCTGGTTCGATCTTATTCTGCTATAAATGTTTTGAGGTCATTAAATCATCTATATACCCAATATTCTTCACATTCGATTAATTATGTTGAGAAATTAATAAAGTGTTTGTATTGTGTTGGTATTGTGTACTAAGGAACCAGCCTCATTAGTGCCACAGGGTTCATCTTTTGTCCCCTCCCCATCTCCACATCGGCCGTCCTAAGTACTTGGGTCATTATTGGGATTGCCGGCGGCTCGTTAAGAGTAATGATGTGTTGTAGGGAGAGATAGCGAGCTATTTGTCATCAAGGAAAGCTGTTTTCATCTGTATTAATTTCATGTGCTACAATATTGATTTCAGTTATTTTCGTTTAGAATAATTGCCTCAAAGTTTTGGTCTGAGGTCGTGCTACAAAGTGTGGCATTTGTTATGCGTGGGTGAATGGTTATTCGCTGAATCTAACACGTTAATTCTGCATACCATGTATAAAGGGGTAACCTAATGTTAAATACATAAACCTAATGTTATTTTACAGGCGAACACCCTGAGAATGCGAACACTCCAAAGATATAAGGACTCTTGTAAGAAGCTAATATCCATAACGCCGTGTTACAATAAGTGATTGAACGGTTTTGCAATATCTAAGAATATTCGAGAAATACACTTTACTTTGGAGGACCGACCGGTACATGACAGTTCTAAAGTAACGTTATCTGGCTGACAACTTCAGCGTGTCTCAATTTCTATTTATCATGGTCTGATTAACTGTTGTCTGATTAGCTGAATGTGTAATATGACACGGTGTGGGCACCAGGTGTAGCGAATTGACACGTGATACTGAGGTCGAGCACCGCTGTTCAGACAAGCAACATACACTCATCAAAAAAAGAACGCACCGGTGGTATGTAGTTCAATGACATAAAAAAATCCGGTATATTTATTGGATGTATGTTATTGGAAAATGTTTCGAATCCCGGTTCGCCCCGATTACGTTTCTAGGTTTGTCAGCACCATACCCATGCTCGTGGGTTTCACCGAAGTGGTAAACGTCCGAGATCTGCATCACTTCGGGCTTTCCTCCCACATTAAGCTGATACGCCGTGATATAACTGGAGAACTATTCAAAGCGGCTTTTAAACCCAACTCACTCACTCACTCTAAGTTCTTAAGGAAAAATACAGAAGCATCTCAATTACCTCAGAGGAGGAAAGCAGTACGCCACGTTGGTCCTAGACAGTAAGGGTTGTAATCGTGGCGATAGGATCCAACATTCGTTTGTTTGTGTGTTTGTTGTTTAACGCAGCAATATTCCAGCTATATAACGGTGGTCTGTAAATGATCGTGTCTGGGCCAGACAATCCAGTGATTGATATCATGAGCATCGATCTACATGATTAGGATACGATGACATCCATCAACCAAGTCTGCGGGCCTGATCAAGCGATCCCGTTAGTCGCCTTTCACGACAACCATGGGTTGCTGAAGACCAATTCTACCCCGGGTCGTCACGGGGACAACGACATGTAATGCATCACGCCCGGACAGAGAATTGCGGCGCCACTAACCACTTGGGCACACGTGCCCTGTAAGAACATTCGATGTGGACACAATAAGGTCCAGAGAGACCTCGGGTTTTAATAAAGCGATACAACAGCACTCTACAGTGAAACATAGGTAGTTTGCAATCAATTTCAGGTGACTCTGAAGTGATGCAGGTCTCAGACGTTGACAACTTTGGTGAAACCCCCGAGCACGGGTATGGTGCTGACAAACCTAGAAACATAATCAAGGTGAACCTCGATTCGAACCCACAATCATAGGTTTCTGGTGTGCCCAAGGGACGCAACTTTGATGTATACAAGATGTGGGTCTTGTTAATATCATTTCCGCTCAATAATAATTGTATCTGTGCAATCTTAAAGTGTTTTTTTATTTTCTTTACGGGTGTTTACCAAACAGTCTGGTATTAATCAAATGTTGACAAAATGTGTCGCTAAGAATTTTCAGCATCTGGATGCCTTCTAGTATTTTCCAGCCATTAATTGGGTTTTCGGTGATCCATTTCTATAATTTTCATCACTTTTTTGCCTGGTACGCCCAATGTAATTTGTTTCGGTGCATAATCGAGACTGATTATTCTCTGGCGTTGAAGTCTTATATTTACTGCTGTGAGGGCTAATCAGAGACTCCCTCGTCAGGCATTGGTACATGCGAGAGCCGGACAACATTTACACAGATTAAGGGCCTATCTCAGGGAGATCAACCTCCTTTGCTTAAGTGTATACACAGGTGCGATAGATTGTGGTGTAAAAGGTTAAGGACAAATGGGACAAATATGTGTAGAGAATTAATAAATGAAAAATATATAAAGGCGATCTTTAGCCCAATGAAGTTATATTTACGCCGAACAAAGGACTGGTTTTACTCATATCAATAATCATGTGTGACCGACCCCTAGTTTTAAGGAGGGAAATGGCGCGCTGAAAGTCATGTTGTATCCCCTCACATGATTAGACTAGTTTAACGTATTTTACTTATTTTATTTATTTTACCGTGTTTCCGAACACGGGTATTCATCTCATATCTCTGCCATTTGATGATAAATCGATATCGTCAAAATCAAGAGCGACGATAAATGATACTCAATGCACGATAGTGACGATATCTGATTACCCTCTCGAGAGAGTGACGATATCTGATTACCCTTTCGAGAGAATGACGATATCTGATTACCTTCTCGAGATAGTGACGATATCTGATTACCCTCTCGAGAAAGTGAAGATATCTGATTACCATCTCGAGAAAATGAAGATATCTGATTACCTTCTCGAGATAGTGACGATATCTGATTACCCTCTCGAGAAAGTGAAGATATCTGATTACCTTCTCGAGATAGTGACGATATCTGATTACCCTCTCGAGAAAGTGAAGATATCTGAACCGCCTCGAGAAAGTGACGATATATGTTTACCCTCTCTCGAGAGAGTGACGATATCTGTTTACCCTCTCTCGAGAGAGTGACGATGTCTGATAACCTCCTCTCGATGGCGGCGATATTTGTTATTACTCTCGGCAGAGATTGGGGATTTATCTCACGCACGTATGAGGATATCTCACTGCAAGTAATATAACAAAAGGAATTTATCGCTTATTTAGTTAATCACATTTATCTGACGATATACAATCGCTATTTCACTCGAGGGATGTTACATGTAACACATGAACCTATCAACCATGTCAGTTCCCTTGATGAGATTAACATATTCCATATTAACAGATTATCTTCTATTTATCTGGTTCTATCAAGTAAATGATATCACTGATTCAAGTTCATTTTTATCATTTTAACCATATATATTTATCAACTAGCCGGTATACTTTCCTTTGATGTTTTCATGGCGATAAATGTCATACTCCAAAATAGGCCTTGATATCTCAGATATTACATTATTATGTTTTATCCGAAATATCACTCCACTTTTGGGGTATCGTTGATTGGTTACTCACCAAATAAACGATAACTGTGTCGCCCTCACACAATATAAATCTAACAATATTTAACAACATTAAAGTCAGGAGAAATAACAACATTTTAATTGTATTAATACATTGTATAATAATGTTGACCCAAAATGGTACCTAGTTGATTAGAATCTGCGCCAGAAACATTTAAAGCAAACAGGGCCTTGGCTCCAATATATGCTCGTCAGCCATTGGATAAACAAGTTGCATGCGTCACACTCGACAGTGTATACAAAATACAAGCTAGTCCCGCTCGTCGTGCGCGATAACCCGCTGATGTTACAAATTTGTTTAAGTCTTCAATTTATCATCGTAGCCGTGGGGTAGCCTAGTGGTTAAAGCGTTCGCTCGTCACGCCAAAGACCAGGTTCGATTCCCAACAAGCTAGGGTACAATGTGTGAAGCCCATTTCTGGTGCCCTTGCCGCCATATTGCTGGAATATTGTTTAAACCATACCCACCCACTCTTCAATTCCTCCTCCAGGCACCATATTACACCCGTCATGGATGAAAGACGTCACACAGCCCGAGATGAGGTCACATCGTAGCAACTGTCGTGTGAATATCACAATTCTCACAGCGATCCTTGACACAGACAACGAATTTCTACTAAGACTAAAAGGTAACAGGATGTTGTTTGTTTTATTTAAACCAACTAATTAAACATAATGCTATTGCGACCTCGTAAGGTCAAAAGAAACGTTTCCCACAATATTACAGCCAAGCTTAATAATAGATGTCCTCCTGACAGTCTGATATAGTAGCAAAGTAAATTCTTGGCCTTACAGTCGATCAGACCCGTGAAGATCGGAGGTAGAATAGGTCCTTAGCAACCCATGCTTGCCGTAAGAGGCGACTAACGGGATCGGGCGCTCGCTAACTTGGTTGATGCATGTCATCGTATTCCAACTTCGTAGATCGATGCTCTTGATGTCAATCACTGGATTATGTATAGACTGCCATCATAAAACTAACACGCTAACAAGCTAACAAAACATCACGCATACGGTGTGGCGACGACATTTTTCAAATATGACAATACATGTTTACAAAGATGTTGTGGAGCCAATTCCCTTCCACTGCATATGAATCAGAATTTCTGCTCGGATAGACAAAGTCAAAACAAGGTAATGTAGCCAAGACGTTTAACTTAAGCTGTGTTAAACAACGAAAAGGGATTACAGTAGATCATAAAACTTGATTGTCTTCTTGGACTTACAGCAGATCAAAATATGTGAATATACTCTTGGCCTTACACTCGATCATAATACTTGAATGTCCCCCTTGCCGTACAGTAGATCACAATACTTGATTGTCCTTCTTTCCTCAAAGTAGTTCATAATACTTGGATGTCCTCCTGGCCTTACATACGATCATAATACTTGATTGTCCTCCGATCCTTCCCTTAAAGTAGTTCATAATACTTGAATGTCCCCCTTGCCTTACAGTAGATCACAATACTTGATTTTCCCCCTATCCTTAAAGGTACTGTAGTTCACAATACTTGAATGTCCTCCTGGCCTTACAGACGATCATGATACTTGAATGTCCCCCTTGCCTTACAGTAGATCACAATATTTGATTGTCCTCCTTTCCTTAAAGTAGTTCACCATTCTTGGATGTCCCCCTGGCCTTACAGACGATCATAATACAAACGTCCATATTTATATAAAGTGCAGTTCTGTTCTATCGAACATAATACTTGAATGGCCTTCTGTTTTAACAAGTAACAATCAGACTAGACCCTCCCTCAGCACAGAGTCGAATATAAAACATCCCGTACCATAGCCATAAACGCCGAATGTCTTGTCCCAGCATCACAGTCATGATAATGCATTTTTATGCATTTCCAATCATCTCTGTACCTTAATTATATTCATAGTAACCTCCCTCCGGAGTAACGACCCGCCAGCTGATCTCATCCTCATAGGGCCGTCCTCGACAACGTGCTCACCTCCACGCCTTGGGACAACACTTGGCGACGACGACAGCATCATGACTCTCCCCTGTCCCAGCCAGCACGGCCATGACTCAACACCCTCATCCACGTGGTTGCCGCAGTCGACGTTTCATGACGCATGGGAGTTCATGGCGTCGTACACAAACGCCATCCCACAGGATACCCTGGTGATTCTTTATGAGGAAAACACAGGTAGTGAATACAACAAATGACTGGTCTCTATTGTGAAAATACTTCTCTGTACGTAGTTATTGTTTGGGCGTAGAGGCGCGCCACCCGTTGCAAGATTAAAGCAAACGGTCCCAGCAATCTTCATTATCTTCTACAGCATCATAGATGAACATCCGGGTACGGTAAAGGTCTTCAGCAGACCATGCTTGTCGTAAATGGCGACCAACGGGATCGTGTGGTCAGGTTCGCTGACTTGGTTGATGCATGTCATCGTATTGCGTAGATCGATGCTCATGATGTCAATCACTGGACTGTCTGGCCCAGACTCGATTATTTACAGACCGGTGTGCTGCGTTAAACAAAAACCAAACAAACAAAACATAGATACACAGTTCCGAAGTGGTGATAATGCTGGACACACTAACCAGTTTGTTCTAGAAAAGTCGAGCAAACAATCCATTAGTTTGTTCTAGAAAAGTCGAGCGAACAATCCATTAGTTTGTTCTAGAAAAGTCGAGCGAACAATCCATTAGTTTGTTCTAGAAAAGTCGAGCGAACAATCTATTCGTTTGTTCTAGAAAAGTCGAGCGAACAATCCATTAGTTTGTTCTAGAAAAGTCGAGCGAACAATCCATTAGGCCCCGAATCTGAGATCTACAAAACCTCAATTGTGTCATTACAGGAATATAAACTAACGATCCAATACCTTTCAATACGTTCATAAATACAGGATGACCACGTATGTCCAATTAATTTTGAGGCGTTCCTGTCCGTTTGCCATGCATATAAATGAATAATGATGTATTTCATACCTACGGATGAAACAGTCATTATCATCACACCATACGATTAAAACAGCAAGTGTAATGTTTGTTACTGAAATCAAATATGAATAAGGTATTTTCAACTGGGTTCCAATGTTTTTGAACAACTTCTTGGCTCAACGATTATTAATCAATAATGAAAAAGTCCGGCATCATTAGTGATAATTGTTAACTTATATTTTTGGGCATATTTTATCAGTTAGATGAGACCATGACAATGTATAAAAATATAAATGATCATATCAACGACTACCGTGATAATTACGATAATGATGGCGTTATGATTATAATTATAGTAGTGAGTGAGTGAGTGAGTGTGGTTTTAAGCCGACTTTTAGCAATATTCCAGCAATATCACGGCGGGGAACACCCAAAATGGGCTTCACACATTGTACCCATGTCGGGAATCGAACCCGGGTCTTTTGCGTGACGATCGAACACTTTAATCCACTTGGCGACACCCCCCCCCCCCCCCCCCCCCCCCCTATCTTCTGTATAAAACTGCTGACCCGACACGTTGGGATCACAGCAACAAAAAGCACACAAAAGCGATGCCACGTTTGACAGCGATTGAGAGAGAGAGAGAGCCGTAGGAATGCTCCAACAGGGAGCTACGCACCGCGACGTCGCCAGAAGGTAAGGATGCGCGCGCATAACCGTCACCAGGTTAATGCAGCGATTGCGTCAAACAGGTCGGACAGCAGACAGGCCGAGAACCGGGTGACCACGCCTATTGAAGACCGCCACATCCGGGTACTTCACCTTCGGAACCGCTTCGTAACGGCGACGTTAACGGCACGGACGGCACTGGGACACGTGATAAGTCGACAAACCGTGTACAGGAGACTGCGGGCACATGGTATCCGAGCACGTCGCCCCTAACGCGGAGCGTTCCTGACACCTCAACACCGACTCAACAGACGGATATGGGCCAGGCGACTTCGACGGTGGCAACGGTGGAACTGGGCACGTGTCATGTTTTCTGACGAAAGCAGATTTTGCATCTTCAGGAACGACGGCCGGCAGCGTGTGTACCGAAGAGTAGGTGAACGTTTGGCACCGAACTGCATCCATCAAGTCAGGCCATATGGAGGCGGAGGTTTAATGGTTTGGGGTGGAATCTGCGGTGACGTCAAAACGAGACTCGTCGTTATTCGAGGAAACCTGAATGCGCAGCGTTATCGTGATGACATCTTACAACCAGTTGTGGTGCCATTCATCCAACAACAGCCTAATGGTATCATTTTCCAGCACGATAATGCGAGGCCTCACACGCCAAGGCTGACCCAGAACTTCCTAGCAAACGCCAACACTCACGTTTTACCATGGCCGGCATGTTCATCGGACATGAACCCAATCGAACACATGTGGGACATTCTCGGCCGCAAAGTCAGGAATCGCCCTATGCCTCCAGTTAACCTCCAGGAATTGGAACAATGCCTCCTCCATGAATGGCAACGCACCCCCCCCCCCCCCCTCCAACGTCATCAGACGCCTGACGTCATCAGCCCGTAGACGTGTACTAGCGTGTATTGACGCTCACGGTGGACATACCCGGTACTAACGTGACTTTTAGACGTGTGTTGTGACATTTTCCACACTTGACTCATCAACTGTGTTCAAATGAAATTTTCATTTTGGAGCCCCCGCGTCTTTACATGTCTGTCCTCATGATTGTAAAGGATTGATTTTTGAATGAATTTTTGTACACATACTGTGAAAACAATACTCACAAGTCATATACCAATTTGAAATGTCTGTATCGTTTAGTTTTTTTGTAATGTCCTTTCAAACACGTGGTATCCTTTCTTTTGGACATGACATGTTTGGTTTATGTTAACCTTTGTTATTTTCCCTAAAAAAGCAGGAAGATTTCTAGGTCAGTTCTTGGAGAAACACCTACCGTCCAGCCTGGATATGAAGCTGATGATGTACAGCACCGAGACTCTATCCGCTACCACCAGGTGGCGCTCGGAGCTCGCACACATACACAACAGGACCTATGTGAAGGGAATATATGGAATTCTGTTGGGGTCAGAATCTACTCTCCTAGAATATATGCAAGAGGTACTGATGGAGATCACTGAAATATGGCATTGTATTTCATACACGAGAGCATCAAATAAGAAGATTGTATATTTAATCAATACTCTTAAACAATGCTCGGTGAAATCTTTGGATAACGCAATGACTAAATATACTTATAGAGAAAAACTTGTCGATAAATCCAGTGCTTTCTTCCTAAAGTCATTGTAATGACGATACTGTTCGAGACAAACACCCCGGAGAACATTCCACTCTTACACAGTTTAAACTTAATGTAAGAGGGGAAATATAATAATCGGTTTCCACGTCTACTGAGTTGGCATTAATGCATGTTTATAACCCCCGGGTTGAAGATATAGGTGGCGAGATGCTAAATCCGTACGTCTGATCGGTACAAATCATTAATTCTTAATTCGTTTACCGTATTTCCTCTTTAAGGCGCCCGGACGTCTTGTATTTTCGCGTATGCCGTTGACCCGGGATCTATTATTGGCCCGGTGTCTGTTCTCTTCATGCTGGTAGAGTGGCAACTCACTTCTTTACCAAATCCCAAATTTTACAGTTTTACAAAGGGTACATTAGCAGGAAATGGTTATTATTGCGGGTAGAATAGGTCTTCAGCAACCAATGCTTGTCGTAAAAAGCGACTATGCTTGTCGTAAGAGGCGACTAACGGGATCGGGTGGTCAGGCTCGCTGACTTGGTTGATGAATGTCATCGATCCCAATTGCGTGGAACGATGCTCATGATGTCAGTCACTGGACTGTCTGGTCAAGTCTCGAATATTCACAGACCGCCGTCACATAGCTTGAATATTGCTGAGTGCGGCGTTAAACAACAAACAAACAAAAGTTACTATTGAAGGGAGAAATCATTACAAGTTAATGCGATAGGGATAATTGATTACAACAAATAATACACCCGGCCTCTCTTTTGGACAGAGCGTATACCCGGCGTCAATTGGACGGCGTCTTATAGAGGAAACACGGTATGTCTTATACCTACTATCGCCTACACGATTGTGAACACTATTTCAGATAAACAATTTCGATGCTTTGTTCCCGAGAACCACGGACTTCCGCCACCGGTCATTCTGGTTGGTCATCACACAAACAGTGGACATCCACGTGTTGGAGAACGTGTCTCGTGATCTAGAAAATATGGCCGTCATATCACCTGGAATCTCCCCATATGACCATGACATGAATGCGTCAATTGAGGTAAGTCATTATGTACATACCTACCATGTCTTTAATCTTTCATGTTAGTTATGGTGTATTTAATTATGTATATAAATTAAGGTGAACTTTAAAATTTGAACTACGAAAGCTATTCTCTTTTGAAGTAATTTATTCCAAACATGTTACGGAATGTTACAGTTTAGTTAATGGCGTTACAATTTCTGTTTCAGTCACTTGTGCTGGAAAAGACGTTCTCGGGTCTTGGGAAAAACCTCAACGTCTGCGGCAACATGACGTCGGCAGCTGTAGTGTGCGTCATCGCTCATCACTTGGAGTCGGTAAGTCGGTAGTCTGAGGCATTGTGGTAGTCTAGTGGGTAATCATATCAACAGCCCGGGTTCGGTTTCCACATGGGTACAATGGGTGAAGCCCATTCTTAGTATACCGAGACGTGATAGGTATGGCATAATGTTAAAATTGTCGAAAAGGCGAATCACGCACTTGCTGTACAACCAAATTCTAAGAGATCCTTACTCTCTAAGTCACAGCGTTATTCCTTAATAATCAATTAACATAACATTTTTTTTTAAATATCGTTAAAAAGCTTTTACTATTTTTGTGATACGAGGGGCGTTCAATAAGATTTGCAACTTCAATATAAGACAAAGTCGCAGAATATCTTTTGCGCTTTTATCATTCAACATAATCTCCATTCACCTCAATACACTTACTCCATTTGTCCTTCAAGCTTTTAACACCACTTTTATAGAAATCCGCAGATTGGCCCTCTAACCACGCCTCTGTGGCAGCCTTTATGTCCTCGTCATCCTGGAAGCGTCTTCCACGTAGGGCAGATATAATTTGCCGGAACAGGAAATAGTCACAGTCTGGGCTGTAGGGTGGGTGGTTTAACTGTTCGAATCCACATTCACATATGGCGGCCTGTGCAATTCTTGACTTGTGAACCGGAGCATGTAAGGAACTTTATTGCAGCGCGTTGTTCATGTTTGACAGAATCCATGATTAAGACCACCCTTAGGTGAATAAAGCCACTCATCTAACTTATTGTTGTGTCTGGAACATGTTATGACACGTGTCAACCTGATGTTATGACTAGTGTCACACCTGCCACAAGTTGACATTGTTTGTGTAAACACAAATGCCCAAGCTGCAAAACTTATTGAACGCCCCTCGTATGTTTGAAGTCGGATATTTGCTCAAATAAATGTACTAAAACTGGCGTACGTTGTATTCTAGGCCTTCCAGACGGCGGAGTCCGAACGCCTCTACGTGCATGTTGCCGAGGGAGTGGGCGACACCCACCACTACGTCAAACACCCGCTGTCCAAGACACGAGCAGATTTAAACGACTTTCTCTTCCCTAACGTCAAATATGGCTACAACCTACGACATATGAATATAACGATTCAGCCGGTACGTGAAGAGTGTTGAAGCCTCCCCAAATAGTGTGAGGAGCATTGAACTGAGACTTTATTATGACGTTTACTATTCTTAACAGCGAAACAAACATTTAACTTTTAAACCGACCACATTTGTCTTTTCAACATATTTATCAGGAAGAGAATGTTTGGCTGTCAACTTCTATATTATGTGGAACGCAACGTTTCGGAGTATATACTTACTCCTTCATCAGGTGAATTAATACAAAATGTAGCAGAGAACAGAATTAACTTTTATCAGGACGTATTTGATGAAATGTTCATGTTGTGATAATACCCATGCGCAATATATCAATACATCGATAATATGCTTCGATTTTCACAATGCTGAATGAGACGTGTTTCTACAAAACGTAAACAAGACAAGCATATATACACACAATAAATGTCTAATTGTCACTGAAATTGTAACCAAGTGCCTTCACAAATGATAAATGAAGTCATTTCTATTCCAAATCGATAAGGGGCGGTCGGGTAGCCTAGTGATTAAAGCGTCTCACGTCGAAGACCCGGGTTCGATTCCCGACATGGGTACAATGTGTGAAGCTCATTTCTGGTGTCCCCCGCCTGATATTGCTGGAATATTGCATTAAGCAGCGTAAAACCATACTCACTCACTCACTCACTCACTCACTCAAAATCGATATATCTATTTTGTAATATTTGATGAAATGTTTAACATTATTTGACTAGTAGAACATTTAAAAGTGATTTATGATAAAGTCTCTTCTGAGCAAATGTGTCACACTACTTTCACATGTAATGATTTTCAGTGCTGTGACATGCTTCGACTTTCCATATAGTTCATCCGCTACACTACTTTATTCAATATTTCCTTGGGATGTCCCCTGCATAAAATGGGCATGTGACGTCGACAGGCCTTCTTCTACTTGTGATCATAAACTGTTTACACTGTGCCAATGGCTTTTCCTACACGTTAAAAGCAGGATATGCTTACCCTTTTGCGAACACCTGGTGTCATCACTAATTATTGATCCTCGCGTATAACTTTCACCTCTGTCTTGCGTTTTACGCCCAATGGAATCTCTTTCGGTTGATAATAGAGACTGATTAATCTCTGGCGTTACCGTTGTATATTTGTATCGCCAGAGGCCGAACGATACATCCATCATTTTAGGTACATGCCTTACTGTCAACCTCAAAGACAAGCGGACTGCTCACTATTTTACGGGCCTAAGATATTTTCTGTTGCCAACTTTATTATCAATCTCATTGCATAAGGCCCTCAGACAAACAGTATCGCACGTTTGAGACCAACGTGGTGCCATCAAAGTTTAATTCAAACATTCTGGGTGTTTAGGTTTTAAAGAATTCGTCATATTGTTTGCAGGAATATACCTTGTATGTGTAACGGAGATATGGGTATTGATACCATGATACATTGTCATCTTAGTGTACGTGTCTCTTGTGTTATATCACCAGCAGTGATACGAAGAAAGCAAACGCCCTAAATGCTGGCATCTGGGAAAACCAATAAGTTTCACAGATGTCAGATGGACGGTGCTTTGTATACAGTACATGGTAATGTCCACAGCGTGTGTTTAAAATAGGACATCATATCTGCCGCGAGACCGTTCCTGGCCCAGTAAGTGTAATATGTGATCTCCCATTGTCAAGTTCTGCCAACAGAGTCGGCCGAGGACGAGTTAATTATCGTATTTCCAGGTGGCGAAATTCCCGTTTTCTTGTAAGATTCTTTTGATTTTTTATCGGTAATCGTTCCTGAGGAGTGATATAGATTCGCATGGAACGAAGCGTGCATGGGAGATTTACCTTGCTAATATATGCTTTTGGTAAAAATTGAAAATCGATCCTGCTATTGTCAACGATGCTGTATCCGGATCAGTGGACATTATACTTATTTCGTCACCCCTGATATACATTATCATTAGCATTGTTCATCAGTCATTAGTTCATTACTACTGCACTTCACATCTATTCCGTGGATTCTGCCATTGTGTAAGTCTTCAAATACCGAAATAATATGAAATGGTAATTAAATACTTGATGCATACGAGACTCAAATGCCGTGCCTTGCACATGGTGTGTCTGTGTGACTGTGTCTGTGTGTGTATATTTGTGTTTATTTATTTATATAAATGAATATAATTAGTTAGTTAAAAAGGTTTAAAAATACACCACAGTTTTATAAAACGTCTTTCAGTACAAATCCGCCGACAACAAATACAGTAGTGCACGTGTTTATATACATGCACTATATATTGTGACCAAAATAATTAATTGGTTGATAATTAAAGACATAACCCTTAACAATAACCCAAGTAGTATTGAATCAGGTGCATAAAGAACACCCAGCTACATACATGGAAAAACAAACATCACCGTGCATCTCCACTCTACCTCAGAAACCGTTATAAGAAAAGTAGAGATTAGGCTCTGTATCTACAACCCGCCACTGTAATCAGTTTGGTGTCTCCACTGTTGGTTTTGAATTTATAGAAGCTAGTAAGTAACAGTAAACACAAGATATTTTATGGATGACAACTTCGTTATTCTCTAATGATGCGACGTTTCGATTTAGATCGACAGTTGTCAATCAAGGGTGACTCTATACCTAAGAGTCGCATGATAAGGTAAAAAGAAGTTGTCATCCATAAAATGATTTTTTTACTGTTGGTGCTTACAGTTTGGCACAAATCAGCAACGTATTGTCTAGTATCGGTCCGTAAAACACTCATCCACACACTCGTGTATTATGTTGGGGCAGTGGCCGGGATTCATGGAGCGTGTTGATGACGGGAACGCTACAACCTACCAGGGCATGTGTATTGAGATGCTGAAGGTGCTACAAGAGGCTCTCAACTTCACGTGAGTCTTTGCTTGCCGAGAATGCCCGATTCACAGTACAAACCATTTGTTTGTTGGAAATTGGTATGTCATCGGCCTGTTGAATGTATTTTCAATTTTGCATACAATATCCCAACAACGAAAGCGACTATCACAGTCAAGGATGATTGATATTTCTATGGCTAAATACTATGGAAGTGTGAAGGGTATGTGCTGATACATCTTCTCAAACAATCTTTTCGTTTTATCGGTAAATTAAATGCGCAACCCTTGATCAATACGATGACCGAAGTTGTATTTGTTTTCCATCCATTATATATCAATTATGACTTAATCCATAATGCCAATCAATACACGCCTGTGTCTCACCCGTGAGAACAATCATTACGTGACCTAATTCCTGTAGGTGCATTTTCACTACCACTTTTGTGTGGACTTTGTTTCCAACCATCTGTGTGTGTACATTCTTACCTGGCATCTGTGTGTGTGTACATTGTTACCTTCGATCTCTGTGTGAACATTCTTACCTTCAATCTGTGTCTGTACATTCTTACCTTCAATCTCTGTGTGTACATTCTTACCTTCCATCTGTGTGTGTACATTCTTACCTTCCATCTCTGTGTGTGCATTGTTACTTTCCATCTGTGTGTACATTGTTACCTTCCATCTGTGTGTGTACATTCTTACCTTCCATCTGTGTGTACATTCTTACCTTCCATCTGTGTGTGTACATTGTTACCTTCCATCTGTGTGCGTACATTATTACCTTCCATCTGTGTGCGTACATTATTACCTTCCATCTGTATGTGAACATTCTTTCCTTCCATCTGTGTGTGTACATTCTTACCTTCCATCTGTGTGTGTACATTCTTACCTTCCATCTGTGTGTGTACATTCTCACTTCCATCTGTGTGCGTACATTATTACCTTCCATCTGTGTGTGTGTACATCCTTACCTTCCATCTGTGTGTGTACATTGTAACTTTCCATCTGTATGTGAACATTCTTACCTTCAATCTGTGTGTGTACATTCTTACCTTCCATCTGTGTGTACAATCTTACCTTCAATCGGTGTGTACATTCTTACCTTTCATCTGTGTGTGTACATTCTTACCTTCCATCTGTGTGTACATTGTTACTTTCCATCTGTGTGTACATTCTTACCTTCCATCTGTGTGTGTACATTGTTACCTTCCATCTGTGTGTACATTCTTACCTTCCATCTGTGTGTGTACATTGGTTCCTTCCATCTGTGTGTACATTCTTACCTTCCATCTGTGTGTGTACATTCTTACTTTCCATCTGAGTGTGTACATTCTTACTTTCCATCTGTGTGTGTACATTCTTACCTTCCATCTGTGTGTGTACATTGTTACTTTCCATCTGTGTGTACATTCTTACCTTCCATCTGTGTGTGTACATTGTTACTTTCCATCTGTGTGTACATTTTTACCTTCCATCTGTGTGTGTACATTCTTACCTTCCATCTGTGTGTGTACATTCTTACCTTAAGCTTCCATCTGTGTGTGTACATTCTTACTTTCCATCTGTGTGTACATTCTTACCTTCCATCTGTGTGTGTACATTCTTACCTTCCATCTGTGTGTACATTCTTACCTTCCATCTGTGTGTACATTCTTACCTTCCATCTGTGTGTGTACATTGTAACTTTCCATCTGTATGTGAACATTCTTACCTTCCATGTGTGTGTGTACATTCTTACCTTCCATCTGTGTGTGTACATTCTTACCTTCCATCTGTGTGTGTACATTCTTACCTTCCATCTGTGTGTGTACATTCTTACTTTCCATCTGTGTGTACATTCTTACCTTCCATCTGTGTGTGTACATTCTTACCTTCCATCTGTGTGTACATTCTTACCTTCCATCTGTGTGTACATTCTAACCTTCAATCTGTGTGTACATTCTTACCTTTCATCTCTGTGTGTACATTCTTACCTTCCATCTGTGTGTGTACATTGTTACCCTCCATCTGTGTGTACATTCTTACCTTCCATCTGTGTGTGTACATTGTAACTTTCCATCTGTGTGTACATTCTTACCTTCCATCTGTGTGTGTACATTGTAACTTTCCATCTGTGTGTACATTCTTACCTTCCATCTGTGTGTGTACATTGGTACTTTCCATCTGTGTGTACATTGTTACCTTCCATCTGTGTGTGTACATTGGTACCTTCCATCTGTATGTACATTCTTACCTTCCATCTGTGTGTACATTCTTACCTTCCATCTTTGTATGTACATTCTTACCTTCCATCTGTGTGTACATTCTTACTTTCCATCTGTGTGTACATTCTTACCCTCCATCTGTGTGTGTACATTGTTACTTTCCATCTGTGTGTACATTCTTACCTTCCATCTTTGTATGTACATTCTTACCTTCCATCTGTGTGTACATTCTTACTTTCCATCTGTGTGTACATTCTTACCCTCCATCTGTGTGTGCATTGTTACTTTCCATCTGTGTGTACATTCTTACCTTCCATCTGTGTGTGTACATTGTTACCTTCCATCTGTGTGTGTACATTCTTACCTTCCATCTGTGTGTACATTGTTACCTTCCATCTGTGTGTGTACATTCTTACTTTCCATCTGTGTGTACATTCTTACCCTCCATCTGTGTGTGTACATTCTTACCTTCCATCTTTGTATGTACATTGGTTCCTTCCATCTGTGTGTACATTCTTACTTTCCATCTGTATGTACATTCTTACCTTCCATCTGTGTGTACATTCTTACTTTCCATCTGTATGTACATTCTTACCTTCCATCTGTATGTACATTCTTACCTTCCATCTGTGTGTACATTCTTACCTTCCATCTGTGTATGTACATTCTTACCTTCCATCTGTATGTACATTCTTACCTTCCATCTGTGTGTACATTGTAACTTTCCATCTGTGTGTACATTCTTACCTTCCATCTTTGTATGTACATTCTTACCTTCCATCTGTGTGTACATTCTTACCTTCCATCTTTGTATGTACATTGTTACCTTCCGTCTGTATGTACATTCTTACCTTCCATCTGTGTGTGCATTCTTACCTTCCATCTGTGTATGTACATTCTTACCTTCCATCTGTATGTACATTCTTTCCTTCCATCTGTGTGTACATTCTTACCTTCCATCTTTGTATGTACATTCTTACCTTCCATCTGTATGTACATTCTTACCTTCCATCTGTGTTTGTACATTCTTACTTTCCATCTGTATGTACATTTTTACCTTCCATCTGTGTGTGTACATTCTTACCTTCCATCTGTGTGTACATTCTTACCTTCCATCTGTGTATGTACATTCTTACCTTCCATCTGTGTGTGTGTACATTATTACCTTCCATCTGTGTGTGTACATTGTTACCCTCCATCTGTGAGGACAATGTTATCTACCATTTGTGTGTGTGTGTGTGCAGGTACACGCTGTATGAGAACAAAGACCAGACCTGGGGAGTTGTAGAAGATGGCTCGTGGATCGGCATGGTCGGGGAACTACACCGACGGGTGAGTATTATTAACTGTGTCTTCCCTCTGTTCAACATCGTTGCAGATATAAAACGTTCACTATATAACGAAAGCTGTTAATGCAAATTTCTTCAGCGCATGAAATGAAACAATATATGCTCCATTCGCCACCTTTCCCCCATCTCCCAGGAAGCTGACCTTGCCCTAGCTGACATCACTATCCACTACCAGAGAGACCAGGTCGTTGATTTTGTACTTCCGGCCTTTCGAAGGGAAGTGACCGACATCGTGTACCGGAAGTGGAAGACGGAAGACTTCAATTGGAAGCATCTGACACGTCCCTTCACCCCCCTCGTCGTGCTGTGTATAACAGCAGCACTGGTGTTTGTCATGTTGATGGTGGCGGTCACAGAGAGACTTAACCCTTATTACAGCGGGATGATGGAGAGACAGAGCCCTCTGGAGATATCCTGGAAAACTGTCTGGTATCTGCTTGGATCCGTGCTCATGCAAGGTGATACTACAATAGCCAGCTCTGTACCTTACAACATAATTATTGTAAATACTACCTAAAACGCACCCCACTCCATATCATTCCCCGCCCCCCTACACACAAAAAAAAAGAAAAAGAAAAAAGAGAAGATAAAATAAAATAAATAAATAAATAAATAAATAAATAAATAAATAAATAAATAAATAAATAAATAAATAAATAAATAAAGAAAGAAAACAATAAGAAGAAAATGTGAAAAAGAAGAGTAAACATAGAAACAACTATACAATGGCGTGGTTCGTATGAATTAGAATCCTATTTAAATAATTGTTTCAATACGGTTGTTTTTAATTTCGTTTTTTATTGGGGGTGGGTGGTAGGGTGAAGGGCAGCTTGAGGTAATATGTTGAACACAAACCTACGAAGCAAATAGGTACACGTGTTTTAATTTAGCGTCGTTATTCTTACAATATCCAAATAATATGAATACTTTCGATTGAATAATCGTCGGTTTTATGTCAGAAGTTTCTGAGATGATGGTATTATCCTGACAGGTGGAACCCAGGAACCTGGTTCTTGCACCGGCCGAGTCCTCCTGTCGACGTGGTGGATCTTCTGCATCGTGATCGCTGCCACCTACAGCGCCACCCTCATCGTATCCTTCGCCGTGCAGGAGGAAGCAGTCCCGTTCAAGTCGCTGACGGATCTCGTTGAGAATGAGGAGTACAGATGGGGATTATTTGACGGGTCTATTGCTATGCTAATACTAACCGTAAGTGTAAAACTAATCACAATGCTTGGTGTTACCAAATTATGCGACGAATAACAATGAACGTACATAGCTGTTCGTGGCCGTGTCAAAAGACGTTAACAGATGGTACTTGTTGTTACCCTGCTTGGTGTTCTGCGTCATGGGGATAAACGAGGGACTTTACGGTTCGGGTTCAGTACCCACAAAACCTATAATCATGGGTTCGAATCTCTCATCCATGCCTCCTCATTCATCCTCCTTAACCGTGCCCTCATCCGTGCCCCCTCACCCATGCACCCACACCCCCTCATCCATGCCGCTCACCCCTGCCCCCTCACTCATGCCCCTCAACCGTGCCCCCTCACCAATGCCCTTCGACCATGCCCCCTCACCCCCCTCACCCATGCCCCGTCACTCATGCCTCCTCACCCTGCCCCCTAATCCTTCCTTCTTAACCGTGCCCTCATCCGTGCCCCCTCACCCATGCACCCACAACCCCCTCACCCATGCCCCTCACCCGCGCCCCCTAAACCGCGCCCCTCACCCGTGCTCCTCACCCGTGCCCCCTCACCCATGCCCATCGACCGTGCCCCCTCACCCCCCTCACCCAGGCCCCGTCACTCATGCCTCCTCATCCTGGCCCCTCATCCTTCCTCCTTAACCGTGCCCTCACCCATACCTCCTCATCAGTGGTACCTCACCCTTGCCCCCTTACCCGTGCACCCTCATCAATCCCCCGTAATTGTGCCCCTCTCCATACCCCCCCCCTCATCCGTGCCCCCTCACCCATGCCCCCTCACCCGTACCCCCCTCACCCATGCCCCCTTACCAGTACCCCCCTTATCCGTGCACCCTAACCAATGCACCCTCATCCGTGCCCCCTCACATCTGAGACTGACATCTAAAACGGGACAATTACAATATTTTTATGATGTCCTAGACATTACACCAATTAAGATGGATAAGAGCCTCATTTCACCCCTCATTCTGTACATCAAATATACTTTGGATCGATTTGGATTTGAATAAAAAAGTGTTTTTGTAAATAGTTCATTTTTTTTATATTATGTATCAGTTAACTCCTCTACCATCTATTGTCTTATATTTCCTGCCAGAACTCCACTCGTCCAGAGTTCCAGAAGGCCCTTGATGGTGTCCGAAAGTTCGCCCAGTCAGACCCGAGTGTCCTCAGTCGAGACATTGAGGTGCAGCTCCACAAGGTCCAGACGGAGAAGTATGCCCTCATCTCGAGCCGGGCAACGCTGGAGTACATGCAGTCGGTGTCACGCCCGCTAGATCTCCGCATAGTCGGGGAGAACCTGTATTCCACCCATGTGGCCCTGGCAGTTCCACCCGACTCCCCCTTCCTGCCAGATTTTGAGAGAGTGTGAGTACCCTCCAGAATTAGACACATGTGTCTCCTAGAACCTGAAGTGGTTCTGAATATCAGTTGATTGTAATCTTTTAAAGCAAATGAAATGAATAGGTGTTCCTTTGTCATTACATTGATGCACTTATACAGAAATTAATTCAAAATAGAGGGCACGGGTTGCCCAGTCGTCTAAGGCGCCGCGATTCGCTGTGCAGAGTTGCGTCCCTTGGGCACGCCAGAAACCTATGATTGTGGGTTCGAATCCCGATCCCCGAGGATTTGTCAGCACCATACCCGTGCTCGTTGGTTTCACCGAAGTGGTAAACGTCTGAGACGCCGTGATATAACTGGAATACTGTTAAAAGCGGCGTTAAACCCAACTCACTCTCACTCACTATTACAAAATAAATTATTTTAATGCTAAAAAGCACATTAGTCAAAGCTTCTCTTTCACTTTTTAGATATATATAGTGTATTGAAGTTCATCCATTTTTATTTAGACGTATTTACAATGTAAGCAGACTTCGGGTATTGGTTCCATCGTTTTGTGAATATTTGATGAATTCAAGAAAGCAGATTACTGACAATAAAGAAATAATAATTTGGTTACCGTCAATGGAAAATTTCTTTATAATGTTTTGTTTATCAGGGATATATTTTATGACGATAGTAATGTAAAGAGTAAACATGACCTACAAAGTAAGCATAATTTACAGTCTGATGTAAAGTTCTACAATAGGATTACAGGATCTATCAAACGAGCAGTAGGTTGTTCATATAGTATGTTCTATCCATTTAGACCTGACTGGGATATTGACAAACTATCTGAAATGGATGGAAGAATAAAAGGAGAAATTGGATCTAGGTTTTTTTTAAATCAGGTTTTAAATAGTATTGAAGTTACTTTGCAATATACATTTCTCAACGCTCCTAATACCTGCTAATCTTCGGGCACCCTGCGTCTCCTAACCGTTCCGTTATATTTTGTCATGAGTATATCCGCGTTGATTTCAGCATGTCGACTATGAGTGAGATTGGGTTGCTGGAGACATGGGAAGAAACTTGGTGGAACCATAGCTATCTGAAGAACCCTTCAGTCACTCTCGGAGGACAACCTATAACTATCGGCAACTTCCTGAACGCGCTGTGCCTCGTTGCCATCGGTGTGGCTTGTGGCGTTACCGCCCTCCTACTGGAATATGTCATCGAACGGATCAGACGGTGCTACATGGCATCGTTTGAAAAGAAAACTGAGCCAGTGACTGCATGTGTGGAAGACCATGTGGTAGATATGACCTAGACCAAATGATGGACGCAGAGACGACGGAGCGGTGTACTTCAGATATATTGGTTCCTAAATCAGTAATCAACCATTGGAACCTATCAACCTTAACGGTCTTAACATCTGATTTGACGTGACCAGGAAGGCCCTCGCAAGTATTGGGGAACTTGGATTTAAACATGTTCCTATTGCCCTACATGACAAACAAAGGTACAACACTATGGTATCTGAATGATTAGATGACAACAAATTGCGGTTGAGACATTACTCCTTAGTTTATGCTGTCACAAATAGTTGGTGACTGCGAACTGCAAGCACATGGGATTGATATATGAACGATCCTTCAATCATTTAGAAAGCACAAGGACACCTGACACACGTGTGAAGGATTATCTTTATGAAATCCGAAGCTGTTAACCTTAGAGTTGACATAAGGATGACCTATATATGAAGGCCAAGAGGACTAATTTAAAGATAAACATTTCTCGGAAGGAAGCGGACGGAATTCATTTTTATGACGTAACTGTTTCTAAAAACATAAACATCTTCTTGTGAGTAACCTGAGGTGGTGAGGTGCGGTAAAATCGGGTGAGTGAGTGAGTGAGTGAGTGAGTATGGTGTTACGCCGCTTTTAGCAATATTCCAGCAATATCACGGCGGGGGACACCGGAAATAGGCTTCACACATTGTAGCCACGTCAGGAATCGAACCCGGGTCTTCGGCGTGACGAGCGAACGCTTTAACCACAAGGCTACCCGACCGCCGCGAGGTGAAATCGGGTTTACTGTCAAGATTACTGCACTTACATATCTACGTGCATGCGTGTGTCTGTGTCTGTGTGTATCTGTGAGTGTGTGTGTTTGTACTAGACCAGACTTATGCCGACTTTGTAGTGCTAGCACACTGATGTACTGTTCCGCAGTTTAACATGAACATCCCACTCAGACAAAGTATACTGACTCCGAGCCGACCAGTCCTTGTGTTAGCCTCTTAATGCCGAGCGCCAGGCAGCGAAACAATATGTACCATCTTTAAACGTCTTTTGGTATGACGCGGCCGGGCATCGAACCCACGATCTTCCGCCCTCAGGGCAGACACTCTACCACTAGACCACGGTGGCGGTCGTGAGTAACCTGACACCGAAAGGGTCATTTTTAGGATAACCTGCCTGGTCCAGACACGGCATTAAGGTTATCCTGATATCCTGTCATTGAAGCCCGAAGACTGTTACTACTGATACACTGTCATTGAAGAAGCCTGAAGACTGTTTCTACTGATATTCTGTCATTGAATCCCGAAGACTGTTACTACTGATAGAAAGTCATTGAAGAAGCCTGAAGAATGTTTCTACTGATATCCTGTCATTGGAGCCTGAAGACTGTTACTTCTGATACCCTGTCATTGAAGAAGCCTGAAGAATGTTTCTACTGATATCCTGTCAATAAAGGCCTGAAGAATGTTTTTTTACTGATGCACTGCCATTGAATCCTGAAGAATGTTGCACTGGTACACTGTCATTGGCGCCTGAAGAATGTTACACTGATACACTGTCATTGACGCCTGAAAAATGTTACACTGATACACTTTCATTGAAACCTGAAGAATTGTGCACTGGTACACTGTCATTGGCGCCTGAAGAATGTTACACTGGTGCATTGTCACTGGTGCCTGAAGAATGTTACACTGATACACTGTCATTGGTGCCTAAAGAATGTTACACTGATACACTTTCATTGGCGCCTGAAGAATGTTACACTGATACACTGTCATTGGCGCCTGAAGAATGTTACACTGGTGCATTGTCATTGAGCCCTAGGGCATCACACGAAGTGACTAAACCTACATGGTCTCAAAATGCCATGCCTTTGTATCGACGTGTATTCTCATTAAGATGACATTGGTTTGGGAAGGAAGAATGTTTCTACTGATATCCTGTCAATAAAGGCCTGCAGAATGTTTTTTACTGATGCACTGTCATTGAATCCTGAAGAATGGTTTTTACTGATACACTGTCATTGACGCCTGAAAAATGTTGCACTGATACACTGTCATTGACGCCTGAAGAATGTTACACTGGTGCATTGTCATTGAGCCCTAGGGCATCACACGAAGTGACTAAACCTACATGTTCTCAAAATGCCATGCCTTTGTATCGACGTGTATTCTCATTAAGAGGACTTTGGCTTAGGAAGGACTTGATCAAAAGCCTGATTGAGCCTTGATCAAAGCTTCTATCATATGTAATATCGCACATGTGTTTACATACCCTCTGTGGCCTTCGAATTTATCCATACAAGATCGATTAGGAACATTGATAATGAGAAATTGATCAACATTAGAAATGTCACCAGGAGTGTCTTTCTCATTACAAGATAATATAGCTTATAACGTGAAGGTATTGTTGATGTTATCGTAAAAATAGCCTCGGCTTTATTGGATAGTTAAAAAGAATTAGTAAGTGATCATTCCTTTGCATACAATTACTATGGTATTGATCACAATACAATGCGTCTTATCTGTTTTAGCCCAAGGCTCTGGAATATATGATTCAAGGGAGTGAACAGATGGAGTATTGTCGTCTTTGTCGTATGTTTTGTCAGGTGTCGTAAATAAATTTTCGGGAAACAATCGACATAAACAATCGGTCAAAAACATAAATATATCTCAGTTGATTTTATCATATGTTTGATTTTCAGTTAAAAATATCTGAAGGTAGCGACATTATATCAAAGAGATATAACTGTACTGACGCTTAGGCTGCCCACAAAGAATGATTCTACATGGTTTTATTTTTCACAATATAATTTAATTTAAGAACTGTACTTTTTTATCTATTTTAACTCAAAATTACCCGGACACAGATACCTTTTTCCAAACAATTGCGGGAATGAGTGATGGTTAAATAGACATAATAAAATTTAACAAACAATTTGTTTTCAATTTCACAACAAAAATATCAGTGTATTTTCTTTTGCACCGGAGTATATTTTGGACTTATATAATAGAAAATTGAGTTGTGCACGGTCGGACTTTGTACAAGTTCAGTTAGTGCAGGACCACATGTCAGGACAGGTCATGCTTCACGGCCATAGCGTTGCACCTGGGTGCTGTTTCACAAAGCGGTCTTAGATAAGACTATCGTAAGCGTGTGTTAACGTATTGAGTTACGATCATTTTAACGCAAGATTGCTTTGTTGAACGGGTCCCTGGTGTCCTCATTTTAAACTTATCATGGTGTTTTGTAATAAATTTCTATGAATTGTCGCTTAGATTTTGTTAGGGGTGTTAATATCCCTTTCACTTCAAATGGAGAGAAGCGTCATTAGTACTCGTCAATTTGCAATTTGTTTTCTCTGAACGAAAATCCTAAGACGCTGATTCACAACTGTGCTCTCGTGGAAGAGGCGCCAAACCAAAACACTTAACAATCAACACCCGATCATCAAACACCAAAAAATCAACACCCCAACACCCAGTCACCAAACATCCAACAATCAACACCAAACACCCAACATTCAACATCCTATCACCAAACACCCAACAATCAACACCCCTACACCCCTTTACTAAATACCCAACAATCAACACTCCAACACCCCATCACCAAACACTCCAAAATCAACACCCCTACACCCCTTTACTAAATACCCAACAATCAACACCCCAACACCAAACTCTTAACAATCAACACCAAACACTCGACAATCAACACCCCAACACCCAAAAACCAAACACCTAACAATCGACACCCCAACACCAAACACCTAACAATCAACACCAAACGTTCAACAATCAACAACCCAACACCCCAACACCCCAACACCCCAACTCCCCATCACCCAACACCCAACAATCAACACCCAACACTCAACAATAAACACCCCAACACCCCATCACCAAACACCTAACAATCAACACCCCATCACCAAACACCTAACAATCACAACCCCATCACCAAACACCCAACAATCTACACCCCCAACACCCCATCACTAAACACCCAACAATCACAACCTAATACTAAACGGACGCACACACGCTCTCCCCTGCATTGCAATACCTCTACTTCCATACCAGGTACATGCATAAACCAAGTGTCTAGGTGTTATCACCAGAGCTTACATCAAAGAGCATGTCAATTCTACCGGAAGACGCAGCATCTGTGGTTTACATAACCGCCTCTCTAAAATTACTTTGCTGTCTGGAAGAGCATGGCAACATGCGTGAGTTCCTTATTAAGTGCTTGATCAGAAGATCAAAGTAAGCAGAAACTTCACATAGGATATTTACAGTTGACACAAAGCAAACATTTTCAGTTTGAGAGTTTGTTGTAGATAACTATGAAACATAAAAGGCAGATCCCGCTTCTAATATTGATATTCTTGAAACAACCGATTAAAACCGAATTGATTCTGTTCCAGAGAGTGTTTAACAATTACAAACAAACATTAACTCATCCAAACAAACAACACCATTTGGAATGTACAGCTTTGGCAGGGCTGTTTAGTCTGTATCACAAACCCTAGAGAATAAATCAAAATTGAGTCCAACTCAAGCCTAGAATGATTTTGCAAGTCCAGACTGCTTCAGCTGGAAATTGGCATTGTTTAGAGTTCCATTTAGATTTCACTTTTTAGTTTGTAGATATATACTTTTAAATTAGATAACTATATTTATGGGATTAAATGTAAGTCAAAGGCGTGATCTCCCCTCTCATTCAAGTAATATTTGAAAACATTAGTGACAAATGCCTTTTTTACTTCCCGAGAAATATCAAAATGCTGTTGTTATGTCATTTATTTGGTAACACGAGGGTTTGACTTTGATTTTACTCCGCTTTGTACAGTAATTCAGTTATACCGTGTCAGCTGTGTCTGTGAGGAAGGTCAGAGTGACAGGTTCAACGGTTGCCATAATAGTGAAAATAACGAGCACGGCATTGGTGCTGACAAACCAATAGTTATGATCAATTGATCAGGGTTATGAACCTACGATCAGCAGTTTCCGTCACAAGAAAAGGAAGCCACCCCGTCTCTGTAAATAGGGGCGGTTGGGTAGCCTTGTGGTTAAAACGTTCGCTGGTCACGCCGAAGACCCGGGTTTGATTCCGCATATGTGTACAATGTGTGAAGCTCATTTCTGGTGTCCCCTGCCGTTATATTGCTTGAATATTGCTAAAAGCGGCGTAAAACCATACTCACTCACTCACTGTCTCTGTATTACGAACTGTTGGCCTTAAACCGCTGTCCCCATCCCTTGCATGGTAGTGATTACTGTGCAGAGTGACCCGGACAAAGCGTGCGGCCTTTTGCTTCGAAGCGGAGAATAAGGGGAATATTTTGCCTCTTAGAAATCCACGTACAGCCTGTCTTGTTTGTGGCGGGGTATAAGGAATTGATTCCCCTGCTGAGAAATGTATTTCCCTCCTAGGTGTATTCAAGGCGAGATACATTATAAGTTGTAACAGGATCACGAGGGGTACATGGGGTATTATGCGAGTGGCATAAACCTAACCGAGTGGTATAAAACTCCATGTACCCCGAGAGATACTACTACACCGAATTTATCTTTCCGACATGTTTTAATCTGATATTGTGAAAAAAATGAAATACATTTAAAATTGATAGAAAACAGCTGTTCGATTGAGCTGAGATAAACTTGTGCTATGTCACGTCACTTTCATTGTTG